ATAATAGTTTTCTATGGGAGGAAAACGCAACGTGTTATTAAACGTGTTTGCGTTCATATTCTGGGCTCATCTGATGTTTTGTACATAGTATACTTTATTAATATGATATTTATTTACAGAGTTTGGTCTTTTAATAACACTGTCTTAGTACATTAAAGAACGTTAAGCGTTTTTCACGAAAGCGTTTTAGAATGTCCATATAATAGCAGTTCAAAAATCCATATTTTTGTAAGCATGAACCAGCAAGGGAGACGTGCGTTTGTCTCGTTGATACAGTAAATATGCAGCAGCTAGCTAGTAAGTTACGGTACATCCGATAAGGTGCGTAGCATTCGTTCAAAACTTACCTTTCTTTGTGCAACTTCAGGTGTCGAACAAAGTTGGACGTTGTGGCAGCTCCGTCTGTAATCTTCGATCCGCATGTTTTGCAGATTGCAACTCGTTTTTTGTCGACTACCTCGTAATTTTTATAGCCAAACCAAACTATCTTCGGTATCATTTTGACAACTGGCGCGTTGTTGCTTGATGTGCTTCATTGGTTGTCTTGCAATGTGCCTGCTTAGATGCTGTCGAATCAAAACAACGTGGGACTACAGTGATTGGATAACGTGCAGGCAGCGCGCGCTCTCTGTATGCATACAGGTGGATGGTGCACATTTTTTTCACAGATGCAGATAAACGGAGAGCGGCGCGGCCGTGTGAAAAAAAATTTCCCCAGTTTTCATGGGAAGTAGCAAGTCTTCTCGAGTCATAAGGCGCAAGTCCAAGTGAAGTCACGAGTCATTGATGTTAAAGTCCAAGTCGAGTTGCAAGTCTTTGTACATTTTGTCGAGTCGAGTCTGAAGTCATCAAATTCATGACTCGAGTCTGACTCGAGTCCAAGTCACATGACTCGAGTCCACACCTCTGGGAAGCAGTACGTTTAAGAAAGATAGGCCTCTTATAGCCTAATGACACTGTGACCTGTATGCGCATTCTGTCTGTGAAAGGCATTCAATAACAGCATTGTAGAAGTGTGTTAATATAAGTCTCAATGCAACTCTGTACAGACATAGCAGCTATGTTTCCATTGCTCTAATTCCTACTAGAGCAGTGAGTTGTCAACACAACCAGGAATGTTGATAAGTGATCTCTAGGGAATGAATGACCATGACTTTACAGAGGTTATAATCTCAACAAAAGCACTAATTAGGCCTACTCCATGCATAGGAGCACAAGGACTTGTCAAACACTAAGTCTAGACGTCTAGTGTAGTGCTATGCCTAACATGTTATGGCTGATGTATTAGAAGAACAGAAAGGAAAACGCAGCACACTGGTGCTCATGCTCCCAGGTGATATTTATTTATAACAACGTTTCGACCCTTTCGTCTTCATCAGGCATCCATGTCCCAGGTGGGGGTGGAAGGTCCTATTTATAGGGGCAGTGCTCAGTGACATCACTTCCTGAAACAGGAGGTAAAAGAAATGTATAACATAGGTTCACAATATTAACATTCAATGTATCAAAATATATGATCATATACAAGGAATGCAATCAATATTTACAGTAATATACATACAATATTCATACAATGTTCAATTTGGATTTAAAAAAAATACAATTGGACATATTTAAACTATAAAAACGGTTAAAGTCAAACTCCTCGTTAAGGCCAAGAGGAGACAGTGTGTTGAGCCTGTGGATCCAGAAAGATTCCTCTCAATGTCCCCTCCCCTGCGTGACATCTTTACCATTTATATTCCAATGTATCTCAGAGAACTAATAAGATGTCCAGCTTGTAATTACAAATGTGGCCAATGTGCTCAATGAAGCTTCACGTACACATGCAACTCATTTACCCACCCCGCACAGCACCTCAGCAATATACGGACAGGTGAGACAAAAAAATCAGGTTGCTGTTCATTTTGTACAAGCTGGACATCCTATTAGATTTTCCACCCCCACCTGGGATATGGATGGATGCCTGATGAAGACCTAAGGGTCGAAACGTTGTTATAAATAAATATCACCTGGGAGCATGAGCAGCAGTGTGCGGCGTTTTCCTTTCTGTTTTCCATTAATTTGCCTATAGCTCCAGCACCTGCGGAAAGTATCTGGATGTGCCAATGTTCTTCAGCTTTTGTGATGCATTAGAAGAACATTGTAATAATTCCAATGTCAGCATCATTCTGTCACAAGACAATACATTTGATCATATGTTTGTTAGTATCAGACTGAAAATGATCTGCGTGTTTTAAACAATCTTGTAACAATTAACTTGGGAAGAATAATTAACGTTTCCCTCAATGGATCCAATTTCCATAATGTTTTTAGGTTTCTTCATTCTAAATCCACTGCAACATTTCCTCTTATAACATGATATCTAGCAACTGTCTCTAGGCAGACATGTGGGACACAAAAGGCATGCAACACATCTGTAAAAATGTAAAATTTGAACTAAATTATCCAGGGTGAGGGAATACTTTTACCGACAATTACACTTGAATTAGTCACTGCTGTTCATGGTGTAAGTGAGCACACCAAATAGGCCATATAACCTAATAGTATACATTCCAAAACTGGACAAATTGTTTGGGGTTTTCCCATTGTCAAATCCATGTTTTGGATTTGTGTCCGCCAGACAAGCAGGCAGACACAGACAGACACACACACACACACCAACCTAGACCTGGCTATTAGTAGCCTAGCATACATTGCCATTATGTCGGCTTTTTGGAGGACAACTGCACATATTCCTAGATGTATAATTTTCCGGTTTTATCTGGAGGGAGATCACATCGATCACAGCCACTGGCATGTTATTTTGGTATATGTTTTAAAAACGCTCACTAATTTTCTAAAAATATCGTCGTGTAGACTAATTTCATTACATTGCAGTTTAATTAAATAACCAGACTGCCTATCCTACCTACACAAAAGTATGTGGACACCCCTTAAAATTAGTGGATTCGGCTATTTCAGCCAGACCCGTTGCTGACAGGTGTATAAAACGGAGCAAGCTCCCTAGACAAACATTGTCAGTAGAATGGCCTTACTGAAGAGCTCAGTGACTTTCAACGTGGCACCGTTATAGGATGCCACCTTTTCAAGTCAATTCGTCACATTTAACTGACGCTCTTATCCAGAGCAATTTACAGTAAGTAGGCTACCACAGAAAACGTGCCATAAACGTATAAATAGCCTACATTTAAATCGTATGAAAGCGCTCCGCTGTTTTAGGACGTTTTGTCTTTTGTCGGTTGCATTTTGCCTTGCTGCTTGCAGGCAGCGTTTCATGTCATCGAATGAAATTGTGTTATCTGCCCAAATTCAGTCCCACATTGCCAAGCATGACTAACCTCACCCAAGGAGATGTATATATATAATACCAGGGTTTTTCTTTATTTTCACAATGTTGAATAATAGTGAAGACATCAAAACTATGAAATAACACATATGGAATCATGTAGTAACCAAAAAGTGTTAAATCAAAATATTTTGTTATATTTGAGATTCTTCAAATATCCACCCTTTGCCTTGATGACAGCTTTGGGGGTATACAGATGATAGCCTTATTTGGTAAAAGTCCAAGTCCATATTATGGCAAGAACAGCTCAAATAAGCAAAGAGAAACAACAGTCCATATTTACCTTAAGACATGAAGGTCAGTCAATAAGGAACATTTCTAGAACTTTGAAAGTTAAGTGCAGTTGCAAAAACCATCAAGCGCTATGATGAAACTGGCTCTCATGAGGACCGCCACAGTAATGGAAGACCCAGAGTTACCTCTGCTGCAGAGGATAAGTTCATTAGAGTTACCAGCCTCAGAATTTCTGCCCAAATAAATGCTTCACAGAGTTCAAGTAACAGACACATCTCAACATCAACTGTTCAAAGGGGACTGTGTGAATCAGGCCTTCATGGTCGAATTGCTGCAAAAAAAAACACTACTAAAGGACACCAATAATAAGAAGAGACTCGCTTGGGCCAAGAAACACGAGCAATGGACATTAGACCGGTGGAAATGAGGTTTTTGGTTCCAACCACCTTGTCTTTGTGAGACGCGGTGTGGGTGAACGGATGACCTCTGCATGTGTATTTTCCACCGTAAAGCACGGAGGTGGTGGTGTTATGGTGCTTTGCTGGTGACAGTGATTTATTTAGAATTTAAGGCACACTTAACCAGCATGGCTACCATAGTATTCTGCAGCAATACGCCATCCCATCTGGTTTGGGTTTAGTGGGGCTACCATTTATTTTTCAACAGGACAATGACCCAACACACCTCCAGGCTGTGTAAAGCCTATTTGACCAAGGAGAGCTGCATCAGATGACCTGGCCTGCACAATCCCCCGACCTCAACCCAATTGAGATGGTTTTGGATGAGTCGGGACTGCAGAGTGAAGGAAAAGCAGCCAACAAGTGCTCAGCATGTGGGAACTCCTTCAAGACTGTTGGAAAAGCATTCCAGGTGAAGCTGGTTGAGAGAATGCCAAGTGTGTGCAAAGCTGTCAAGGCAAAGGGTGGCCATTTGAAGAATCTCAAATATATTGCTTTTTTTAAACACTTTTTTGGTTACTACATGATTCTGTGTTATTTCATAGTTGATGTCTTCACTATTATTCTACAATGCAAAAAACAGTACAAATAAAAACCCTTGAATGAGTAGGTGTGTCCAAACTTCTGACACATATATATGTATATAACACCCACCATTGAATCACCTGTAGCCTCAAAAGTCCCATGTTTAGCAAATGATGCTTTGGAGAATAATATTCTCTCAGCATTTGGCAAACCAAAATACTGGCACTTCCAGTAACAATTTAGTGGTGCTGCACAATTAAAATGAATCCGACGGACACACAGTTACATACTGGTATAATAGTGTCATTTGTTTCAAGAGTAGGCTATTTGTTCTAACTAAACTACTTGCAAGAATTAAGTTTCACCAATTTGAGAAATCTATAAGAGAAGTGTGTAATTACAATACAGAAGGTAAAAATCAAATGATCAATACATTTATTTGTGGAGTGTTTAATGAACAGTAACAAACCAAAGACTTGCAAGGGTGTTTCATCTCTTCACTATACCAACACTGACTTGGTATACAATATATAATCTGTTTGTAGTTTATGGAGAAGCCAGGAGTTGTTAAATTACACAGGTAAAGTTCAGAAAGGCAACAGTGCACGAGACCAGACAGACATTGAAACGACTCATTGAGAGTATGAGCAAAAGTTAGCAATACGACAACTGATTAAACAATGACTTAACAGTTGTCATTTGGCAATGGTGTGCAAAGGCACCGTTATGATCTACCACCTTGTAGATCTATCCTGGCTTTGAATTGGTCAACTCAATATTAGTCTCTGTAATTCAACACAAGTTTGTAATTTGAACATGGGTTGAGGCAAAGCTCTTTCATCTGGAGGTGTCTGCAGCAACATGGTCCAGTTCTGTTGATGAATTTTCCGTGGTGTCCCCTTCTCCTATTACCTCTGATACAATCTGGAGAGGAAGAAGATGAGCAGTTTAGCTAAAGCTAGATTAATTTATAGCAGGCATTAGCCATCAACAATGTACAGTGCCTTCAGGAAGTATTCATACCACTTGACTTATTCCACATTTTGGTGTGTTACAGCCTGAATTCAAAATGGATTATATAGATCCGTTTCCCCTCACGCATATACACAAAATACCCCATAATGACAACATGAAAACATGTAGACATTTTAGCAAATGTATTGAAAATGAAATACAGAAATACCTAATTTACATAAGTATTCACACCACTTTGCTATGACTCTCCAAATAGAGCTCAGGTGCATCCAACTTCCTATGATAATCCATGAGATGTCACTAAAACTTGGAGTCCATCTGTTGCCAATTAAATAGTTTGGACATGATTTAGAAACAAAACACCGGTGTTGGAAAAAATATGGAACTACCCCAGACTTCGCCTAGAGCTGGCCGTCCAACCAAACTGAGCAACCGGGCAAGAAGGACCTTGGTCAGGGAGGTGACAAAGAACCCAATAACAGAACTACAGAGTTCCTTGGCAGAGATGGGAGAACCTGCCAGAAGGACAATGGTCTCAACAGCACTTCACCAATCTGGGCTTTATGGGAGAGTGACCAGACGAAAAAGGCACGACAGCACGCCTGGAGTACGCAAAAAGGCACGTGAAAGACTGAGCATAAGGCAAAAGATTCTGTGGTCTGATTAGACAACAATTTGACTCTTTGGCCTGAATGCAATGTGCCATTTCTGGAGAAAACCAGGCACAGCTCATCACCCATCTAACACTATCCCTACCGTGAAGCATGGGGGTGGCAGCATCATGCTATGGGGATGCTTTTCAGCAGCAGGGACTGGGAGACTGGTAAGGATAGAGGGAACAATTAATGGAGCCAAATCAGGCAAATCCTTGATGAGAACCTGCTTCAGAGTGCAAACAGACTGGGGCAAAGATTTGTGTTCCAACAGGACAATGACCAAGCATACAGCTAAAGCGACGCTGGAATGGCTTCAGAACAAATATGAGAAAGTCCTTGAGTGGCCCAGCCAAAGTCCAGACTTGAATTCCATTGAAAATCTGTGGAAAGACTTGATTGCTGTTCACCGCCACTCCCCATCGAACTTAACAGAGCTTGAGAAAATCTGCAAGGAAGAACGTGAAAATCCAGATGTGCAAAGCTGATAGATATACAAGACAACACAAAGCTGTAATTGCCGCCATAGGCGCTTCTACAAAATTGACTCAGGGGTGTGAATATTTACATAAATTAGATTCCTGCATTTAATTCAAACATTTTCATAAAATGTTAAAAACTTTCTCACTTTGTCATTATGGCGTATTGTGTGTAGATGGGTGAGAAATTAAATGTCATCATTTTGAATTCAGGCTGTAACAACTAAAATGTGGAATAACTTGAGGGGTATGAATACATTGAAGGTATAGTACATTTTAAATCTATTCAACTTTATGAGAACAATGTATTTTTCTGTATTGTGCCGTTGGTTAGTCATTTCTTTGAAGGGGGGTGGTAAGCTGACATATATAATTGTTTTAATACGGTCATTCTATGGACAATTTAGCCATTTTATTTTTAGGACCCCTTTAGGTAGAATGAAAATAGATTTTGGCCTTTATTACTAATGCCCATAGAAACGCATTGAATAACATTCATAAATGGCAAAAAGGACAGTAAAAAAATATAAGAAACAAGGTTTTGAAGTGTCTGTCCTAAATCTAGAAGATGATATATATATATAAAAAACAATGGAAATATATATACACACACACACAGTACCAGTCAAATGTTTGGACACCTACTCATTCAAGGGTTTCTTAATTTTTTACATTGTAGAATAATAGTGAAGACATCAAAATTATGAAATAACACATGGAATCATGTGGTAACCCCCCCCAAATTGTTAAACAAATCAAAATATATTTGAGATTCTTCAAATAGCCACCCTTTGCCTTGACAGCTTCGTACACTCTTTGCATTCTCTCAACAAGCTTTACCTGGAATGGTTTTCCAACAGTGTTGAAAAAGTTCCCACATATGCTGAGCATTTGTTGGCTGCTTTTCCTTCACTCTGCCATCCGACGCATCCCAAACCATCTCAATTCCAAATCAAATCTTATTTGCCACATGCGCCGAATACAACAGGTGTAGACATTACAATGAAATGCTTACTTACAAGGCCATTACCAACAATGCAGTTTAAGATATTTTTTTATTTAAATAGCAAATAATTAAAAGAGCAGCAGTAAAATAAAATAACAGTAGGGAGGTTATATACAGGGGGTACCGGTACAGAGTCAATGTGCGGGCGCACCTGTTAGTCGAGGTAATATGTACATGTGGGTAGAGTTAAAGTGACTGTGCATAAATAATAAAACAGAGTAGCAGCAGCGTAAAAGAGGGGGTTGGGGTGGCAATGCAAATAGTCCAGGTAGCCATGATTAGCTGTTCAGGAGTCTTATGGCTTGGGGGTAGAAGCTGTTAAGAAGCCTTTTGGACCTAGACTTGGCGCTCCGGTACCGCTTGCCGTGCGGTAGCAGAGAGAGCAGTCTATGACTAGGGTGGCTGGAGTCGTTGATAATTTTTAGGGTCTTCCTGTTCCGTTCCACTACAGCCCCGTCGATGAGAATGGGGGCGTGCCCAGTCCTCTTTTCTTTCCTGAAGTCCACAATCATCTCCTTTGTCTTGAGCACGTGGAGGGAGAGGTTGTTGTCCTGGCACCACACGGCCAGGTCTCTGACCTCCTTCCTATAGGCTCTCATTATTGTCGGTGATCAGGCCTACCACTGTTGTGTCTTCGGCAAACTTGATGGCGTTGGAGTCGTGCCTGGCCATGCAGTCATGGGTGAACAGGGAGTACACTGACTGAGCACGCACCCCTGAGGGGCCCCTGTGTTAAGGCTCAACGCGGCAGATGTGTTGTTACCTACCCTTAACACCTGGGGGCAGCCCATCCGGAAGTCCAGGATCCAGTTGCAGAGGGAGGTGTTTTAGTCCCAGGGTCCTTAGCTTAGTGATGAGCTTTGAGGGCACTATGGTGTTGAACGCTGAGCTGTAGTCAATGAATAGCATTGTCACATAGGTGTTCCTCTTGTCTAGGTGGGAAAGGGCAATGTGGAGTGCAATAGAGATTGTATCAATTGGGTTGAGGTCGGGGGATTGTGGAGGCCAGGTCATCTGATGGAGCACGACATCACTCTCCTTCTTGGTCAAATAGCCCTTACACAGCCTGGAGATGTGTTGGGTTTTTGTCCTGTTGATAAACAAATGATAGTCCCACTAAGCGCTAACCAGATGGGATGGCGTATCGCTGCAGAATGCTGTGGTAGCCATGCCGGTTAAGTGTGCCTTGAATTCTAAATAAAATCACAGTGTCAACAGCAAAGCGCCCCCAAACCATAACGCCTTCTCCATGCTTTATGGTGGTTACTACACATGCGGAGATCATCCGTTCACCCACACCGCGTCTCAAAGACAGTGGTTTGAACCAAAAACCTCCAATTTGGACTCCAGACCAAAGGACACATTTCCAGCGGTCTAATGTCCATTGCTCATGTTTCTTGGCCCAAGCAGGACTCTTCCTACTGGTGTCCTTTAGTAGTGGTTTCTTTGCAGCAATTCGACCATGAAGGCCTGATTCACACAGTCCCCTCTGAATAGTTGATGTGGAGATGTGTCTGTTACTTGAACTCTGTGAAGCATTTATTTGGGCTGCAATTTCTGAGGCTGGTAAATAATGAACTTACCCTCTGCTGCAGCGGTAACTCTGGGTCTTCCATTCCTACGGCTGCCCTCATGAGAGCCAGTTTCATGATAGCGCTTGATGGTTTTTGCGACTGCACTTGAAGAAGCTTTCAAAGGTCTTTACATTTTCCGTATTGACTGACCTTCAGGTCTTAAAGTAATGATGGACTGTCGTTTCTCTTTGCTTATTTGAGCTGTTCTTGCCATAATATGGACTTGGTCTTTTACCAAATAGGGCTCTCATCTGTATACCCCCCCCCCCCCCCCCCCCCCCCCCCACCTTGTCACAACACAACTGATTTGCACAAAAGCATTAAGACGGAAATCAATTCCACTAATTAACTCTTAAGAACGCACACCTGTTAATTAAAATGCATTCCAGTTGACTACCTCATAAAGCTGGTTGAGAGAATGCCAAGAGTGTGCAAAGCAAAAGGCTGGCTATTTGAAGAATCTCAAATATATTGCTTTTTTCAACACTTTTTTGGTTACTACATGATTCTGTGTGTTATTTCATAGTTTTGATGTCTTCACTATTATTCTACAATGCAGAAAATAGTAACAATATAGAAAAACCCTTGAATGAGTAGGTGTTTCCTTCTTAAAATGTGTTTGAGCCAATCAGTTGCAGGGGTGGTATACAGAAGACAGAAGTCCATATTATGGCAAGAACATCTCAAATAAGCAAAGAGAATTGACAGTCCATTACCTTAAGACATGAAGGTCAGTCAATCCGGAAAATGTCAAGACATTTTATCTTCAAGTGCAGTGGCAAAAAACATCGGCCGCTATGATGAAACTGGCTCTCATGAGGACCGTCACAGGAAAGGAAGCCCCAGAGTTACCTCTGCTGCAGAGGATAAGTTCATTAGAGTTACCAGCCTCAGAAACTGCAGCCCAAATAAATGCTTCACAGAGTTCAAGTAACAGACACATCAACAGCAACTGTTCAGAGAAGACTGCGTGAATCAGGCCTTCATGGTCAAATTGCTGCAAAGAAACCACTACTAAAGGACACCAATAATAAGAAGAGACTTGCTTGGGCCAAGAAATGCAAGCAATGGACATTAGACCGGTGGACATCTGTCCTTTGGTCTGATGAGTCTTAGAGTAGGTGAACGGATGATCTCCGCATGTGTAATTCCCACCGTGACGCATGGAGGTGGTGGTGTGATGGTGCTTTGCTGGTGACACTGTCTGTAATTTATTTACAATTCAAGGCACACTTAGCCAGCATGGCTACCACAGCATTCTGCAGCGACACGCCATCCCACCTGGTTAGCGCTTAGTGGGACAATAATTTGTTTTTCAACAGGACAATGCTCCAAAACACACCTCCAGGCTGTGTAAGGGCTATTTGATCAAGAAGGAGAGTGATGGAGTCCTACATCAGATGACCTGGCCTCTACAATCCCCCAACCTCAACCCAATTGAGATGGTTTGGGATGAGTTGGACCTCAGAGTGAAGGAAAAGCAGCCAACAAGTGCTCAGCTTATGTGGGAACTCCTTCAAGACTGTTGGAAAAGCATTCCAGGTGAAGCTGGTTGAGAGAATGCCAAGAGTGTGCAAAGCTGTCATCAAGGCAAAGGGTGGCTACTCTGAAGAATCTAAAACATAGTGATTTGTTTAACACTTTTCTGGTTACTACATGATTCCATATGGGGTATTTAATAGTTTTGATGTCTTCACCATTATTCTACAATGTAATTTTTTAAAACTAAAAATAAAGAAACCCTTGAATGAGTAAGTGTCCAAACTTTTGACTGGTGGCAGTGGTAGTGTGTGTATGTATATATATTAAACACATTTTCAATCCCTTTTTGGGACTACCTCACTTAAATTGGTTCCTTTTTTACCGGTAACCTTCAGAAGAGTCCTGTGACACTTGCGGGGATCCTAGAGCAAAAACTGATAACACGTGAGTCTCCCTTTTCCATAGACAGGTCATAATAGTTTAGGCCAAACCGTTCAGACGTTTATGTGAGAAGACTGATTTTCGGGATGTCTCATGGTCTGACAAACACCGCTCCATTTCAGCCACCTTTCACCGCAGATGCGGAAGTGCGACACTGGCGGATGCGGTGGATTTAGACGCATCAAATGCAAAAAACAGATCTCTAGCTTAAACTGATGGATTTTGACGGGGATGTTTGTTATGCAACTTAGATTGACGCACCGGCGTGTCAGTCGACTCTAGGGGGTTAAGGAAACAAGGACGACAACTCACTTGGTCCTCTATAGACTGCAGAACTCTCTCAGAGAGCTCCATGTCAGCAGAGTCGTGTCCCGAAGCGTCCAGCTCAATGCCAGTTAGGATGTCCATGGGACCCTCAGCGATGGCCCTGATCGTCTGGTCCTCCAGAGCCAGGGCCGTGTCAAACATCAGAGGGGACGGAGGACACCCCACTACATCCAGGTCCTACGGGGGGGGACATTAGAGGTAAATGTTACAAGATGTTTCTATTCCGCAGCAGAGTAGATTAATACCGCTACATTACAGGGGAGGTAAAAGGCAGATTTTTGTGATGGATTAACACTAATGCTATGGTTGAGCACACACAGTAAGCCAGTGGTATCCAAACTTTATCAACGGGAACCTCATTTTTTGCGCTGGAATTTCTGCTGACCACATCCCACCAAATCCAATGAAACTATAAAATCTGTAAATTGATCAATAAATAACCTTACATTTATTACAATAATCTCTTAAAATTATTAGAACCAATAAATACATTTAAATAAAAAGTTAAATCTTTCAAATTCTTTTGTATATTGTCCCATATAATAATCTGTAAAAAAATTAACCTGACGACCCCACTGCAATTCCCGCTACTTTGAGCCTTGTTAAAAAGGGATACTTCAGGATTTTGGATAAGAAGCCTTTAATCTACTAACCCCAGAATCAGATGAACTCGTGGATACCATTTTTGTCTGAGTGCCGTTTGTAGGAAGTTGCTAAATAGTGTTAGCGCAATTGCTAACTAGCATTTGTGCTAGTGAGCATTGGCTCGCAAAATTACCTCTAACTTCCTTCATACTGCACGTAGACATACAGTTGAAGTCGGAAGTTTACATACACCTTAGCCAAATACATTTAAACTCTGTTTTTCACAATTCCTGACATTTCATCCTAGTACAAATTCCCCGTCTTAGGTCAGTTAGGATCACCACTTTATTTTAAGAATGTGAAATGTCAGAATAATAGTAGAGAGAATGATTTATTTCAGCTTTTATTTCTTTCATCACCTTCCCAGTGGGTCAGAAGTTTACATACACTCAATTAGTATTTGGTAGCATTGCCTTTAAATTGTGTAACTTGGGTCAAACGTTTCGGGTAGCCTTCCACAATAAGTTGGGTGAATTTTGGTCCATTCCTCCTGACAGAGCTGGTGTAACGGAGTCAGGTTTGTAGGCCTCCTTGCTCACACACGCCTTTTCAGTTCCGCCCACACATTTTCTATAGGATTGAGGTCAGGGCTTTGTGATGGCCACTCCAATACCTTGACTTTGTTTTCTTTAAGCCATTTTGCCACAACTTTGGAAGTACAGTGCCTTGCAAAAGTATTCATCCCCCTTGGCGTTTTTCCTATTTTGTTGCATTACAACCTGTAATTTAAATGGATTTTTATTATTTGGATTCCATGTGATGGACATACACAAAATAGTCAAAATTGGTGAAGTGAAATGAAAAAACTAACTTGTTTAAAAAAAATTCTAAAAAATAAATGACGGAAAAGTGGTGCGTGCATATGTATTCACCCCCTTCACTATGAAGCCCCTAAATAAGATCTGGTGCAACCAATTACCATCAGAAGTCACATAATTAGTTAAATAAAGTCCACCTGTTTGCAATCTAAGTGTCACATGATCTAATTCATTCATATATACACACACAGTTGAAGTCTGAAGTTTACATACACTTAGGTTGGAGTCATTAAAACTCGTTTTTCAACCACTCCACACATTTCTTGTTAACAATCTATAGTTTTGGCAAGTCAGTTAGGACATCTACTTTGTGCATGACACAAGTAATTCGTACTATTGTTTGTACAGATGAACGTGGTACCTTCAGGGGTTTGGAAATTGCTCCCAAGGATGAACCAGACTTGTGGAGGTCTACAATGTTTTGTTCTGAGGTCTTGGCTGATTTCTTTTGATTTTCCCATGATGTCAAGCAATGAGGCACTGAGTTTGACGGTAGGCCTTGAAATACAGCCACAGGTACACCTCCAATTGACTCAAATTATGTAAATTAGCCTATCAGAGGCTTCTAAAGCCATGACATCATTTTCTGGAATTTTCCAAGCTGTTTAAAAGGCACAGTCAACTTAGTGTATGTAAACTTCTGACCCACTGGAATTGTGATGCAGTGAATAAGTGAAATAATCTGTCTGTAAACAATTGTTGGAAAAATTACTTGTGTCATGCACAAAATATATGTCCTAACCGACTTGCCAAAACTATAGATTGTTAACAAGAAATTTGTGGAGTGGTTGAAAAACAAGTTAATGACTCCAAACTAAGTGTATGTAAACTTCCGACTTCAACTGTAATTGTATCCACGAGTTCATTGACTCTGGAGAAGAAACACCAAAAATCCCGACGTATCCCTTTAAGGCCATTCTAGAAGGCATGGAATCAAAGTGTGATTTTAGCATCTCAAATACTTTGAAACTATTTTAGTACATGGGGCCGACACTTTAAATGTTGTATTTATATTTTTGTTCAGACATTCTGGGGGGGTGAAATCAGTTTCGGAGGAATAAATGTGTTTGTTGCTTCCAACTGAATTGACTATCCCCTTTGTTAATATGGGAGGGGAAACCAACAGACCATGGGAAGATGTTAATGTTTGCCCGGTTTGGATCTGGACAGCTACAACAAGCTGTCAGACTTGATTAAGGCACCGTTAGCAATAATGGTAAGCAGAGGGAGAGTGAAAGTAAATCTTGGGGGTGAAAATTAGTGCGCGATATACATACACCACAGACTCCCAGCAAGTTTCCTGTTCTTATGATATACTCATAGCCTGGAATCCAGACCTGTTGTGTGGTAACATTTCACTCCTTGTACTGTGTCATATGCCAGACAGAGTACAAGGAGTGGAATGTTAGCACAAACATCTGGATTCCAGGCTATGAGTATATCATAAGAGAAGGAAACTTGGTGGGTCAGACTTTACGTACGTCACTGAATTCTAGCGGCAGGCTCTCCGTGGGCTGTAGCTCTGCAGCACTCAGGTACATGTCTTTGGGTAGTACTGCATCTAGCTGCTCTGGGGTCAGGGCCGTCTCCTGTTCAGGCTGGTACATGGGGGGAGGCAGGGAGAGGTGCAGGGGGCAGCGAGGCTCCTCTGACTGGCCCATGTGAACGGGCCGGTCACAGGGAACATCCTTCAGCCCCGGACACATCTTGAACAGTACCTGGTTACTGTCCTGGTAGATGTCTGGATGTCTTATGGTCAAGATAAATAACTGATATCGATGATGGTAATTACATCAGTTACAGTCTCCCATTAAGATACTTCCAAGTCTCGTGTATCACTCTGCTATCGGAACCAATGTGAGGAAGCCTGGAAATAAAGGCTAGATCAGTTCATCTTACTTCTGTGTTGGGCATCTATAGGAATCGTGGGCATGCAACAGAACGTCAGAAACAAACAACCACCAGTTAGACCAGGGGTGTCAAACTCATTCCATGGAGGGCCTAGTGTCTGCTGGTTTTGGTTTTTCCTTTCAATTAACACAAAAGCGTCACTCTGAATTAATCAGGTTTTATTGATTCTTGGAAAAATACTTGCTACATCAACCATTCTGTTGATCTTATACGGTTGTTGATTACGAGCAGACCAACAATGTAATGAAACTGATGCATCTTTATGCTTGAAATATATGTTGCAATAATGATTTGTAAAGGAGGAGTTTTGTTCCTTCCAACTGAATTGACTATTCCCTTTTAATATGGGGGAAAACCAACAGACCATGGGAAGATGTTAATGTTGGCCCTGTTAGGATCTGAACCGCTACCACAAGCGGTCAGACTTGATTTGGGCCCTTTTAGCAATAGTGTGTAGTAAAGGGAGAGTGAAATTAGTCCATGCATCTTCTGGAGGTCAAGCACATGTAAGAAATGAGGGTGCAAACGGGATATAAGTTACTGTGCTGACTGGTTAACAAGCTTGGAACGCCTTACTAGCTAATGCTGAAGTTTTAGGCCAAAAAAATAAAGGCTTTCGGCACAACAAGCATTAGTATGTGTAGTTTAACACCCACAAAAGTCAATGAAAAATATTATTTTCATTCAAATTTGAACTTTAGGTAATCACATGACTGATCATAGAGATGACAACAGAAGAACAGTATGAAGGATACGAGAGACGCAGTGTCGCGTCATTGGGAGACACTGGTTAGAACAGCGGGTCCCTTCCACATAGGAGATACACCTCTGGCTAGACCTCATCGTATGCACCTGTAGAGAGAACACACAACCACAGGACTATGGTTAAAATCCTCAAACAAATTCCTCAGCCAAAGTTTATTAAACACAACTTCATCAGAAGAGGTTTTAACGTATTTGCTGACCAGTTCAAGCAATGTCTTAGTCAGGATATACCAAATCCGGCATACTGCCTGCGTTCCCGCAAAATATTACACTGTTCCCTCTGCTGGCACTATTGTACTGAGGCGATATATCAAATTAATTTGAATTGGTGTTTTAGCACAATGTTCCAAATGCCTGTATCGCAAGAATCAATTTATTAAATTTTTATGAGCGTTCTGCATTTTTGGTCTCGTCTCTTTTGCGCCTTCTGTGCACCTTCTCATACAGACACCAAGCCCCTGCCACTCACAATGACGAAATAACTTATTCTTACAACAAGCAGTTTAAACTCGCTATTTGCATTTGAGGTTTGGTCCAAAATAATCGATCATATGGACACCGAAACGCTTATACACTTCGTAATAGATCTTTCTAACGATACCATTTTTATGTCTCAAATCCCAAAATGTATAACAGACCCTACTAAACGAAAGTATCAATGAACACGACTGTTATACCTTGTTAGCAAGCAAACGGAGCAAATTTGCCTAGACTTGAAATATAAAAGATTAGCTGGCTACTGACTAGCATTTTTTATGAGACACGTGTTAATTTTCTATAACGCCTGCTACAAGAACTTGGTAATTATTAGTGGATGTGCACGGTTCTGGTTAAATTTGTAACAAAATGGCATTTTCATAGACAGTCTTGAAAGCCAGATCAGTTATTATTGCAAAAAAAGCATGTTAAATTATTGCTCAAATTAAATTATTAGTGGGTCTTATGTTTGTGGAAGGCTTATATTTAGCCTAGGTATATTTTTTACATGCAGTATTTTGCCCTGAGCTCTTCAGTTAGGCCATTCATTCTACTGCCAATGTTTGTATTGTTGATTTTATACACAATGGGTGTGGATGAAATAGCTGAATACACTAATTTGAAGGGGTGTCCACATACTTTTGTATATCATGACTCGCCCATAAATTCAAAAAAAATCTAGATATGATTTTTAGGCCATATCGCCCAGCCCTATGTGAGGCTCGAGCAGAGTGGATTTGGGATGCTAGGAATTTCCACAGTCAATCTTCTGAGACTCACATACAACCTGGAACACAACTAGTTACTTCTGCCAGGCCACAGACGGTTGCTGGAGTTCGCGGCATTAGAGTCCATCCCTACAAACAGTTAAGCCACAGACCTGAGGAGGAGCTCCTTCTGTGACAGCCTGTCTCCTCTCTCGGAGCTGCCGGTGAAGCAGAGCCTCCACGCCGTACCGGCGGCGGTACCGACGGAGAGCCTTCAGCTTCCTCAGGTTCTCCCTCTCCTTCATGGAGAGACCCTCTGTGCCAGTCAGCAAACTACTCCCTGTTGGACAGAAAACACAAGGGGTCAGAGCCAGTATTCAAAAAGCGCACCCATTAATTACGCAGGAATCACCACAATTATCTCAACTGGAAAACCCACGATCACACCTGGGTTTTGTTCAATATGGAGTACTAAATGAAGCTGTCCAACTGGAACGATTATATTTATTTTCTGTTTAAAAATGTTCCGCTACAGTGAACTCTATTGGTCACAACCCTGACTAACTACAGGCCAGAACTGGCTGGGTTAGTGCAGCGCCATGGCTTTACCTAGGGTCTCATGCTCCACCTTGCGGCTGTGCAGGTATCGGCGCTTCTTCTCCTTGAGGAGGTGCTGCAGGCGTTTGAACTGGTCGATGTAGAGAGACTGGAGTCTGATGAGCTTCTCCCGTGTGATGAGAGCAACCTCCTCTGCTGTGTACACCCCTGCATGTCTGTAGGTCAAACAACCAATGCAAACAGTTAACAGTCTACTGCAAATATTTGTCTGATCTAGGGTTGTTAGGTTGACCGTATAGTCGCAACACCGGCGGTCACGATTCATGAAGGCAGTCAAATTTCACGGTAATTAGGCTTCTCTAAGCTATGATGCTGCTGATATCATTAATAGCCTACCAAACTTGCTAACTGCCTGGTACTCTGCACTCCATTGCGCCTCTAAATCACATCAACGCAAATGTAATCGAAAATCTAAGTCAAAACACTTAATGAGAGCCCATTAGCTCATGTTGCGCAACATTACTATAGGCTATGCAATTGCGTGAGAACACAGGGTGATGGACTCTATTAAAAAGAGGATCCCATCAGATTTCTATAGGCTAGGCCTAATATTTATTTCTCAACTTTCCTAATATTAAGCACATTGCTTCTCTTCACAACAGGAGTATAGCCTACCTGGCTGGCATGAAAATGAACCACGTAAAAAGCGTCGCCCATTAGCTATTTAAGTGCATAGATGACATGCATTTCTTTCCGGTGCCCCTGTTTCGAGACAGGTGCATGATAATGGTCCATTCTAGATCAAATTAAAAGTAACATTATTTATTATACGTAAAGACAAGATTAAATCAAGAAGAGTGATGGTGACAATATTAGCCTATCACTTGTGAATGATGCCCAGCTTAAGGCACACAGCACATTATTTTTATTGCAACTTTTTCAAATCATAGGTCGCACACCTCACGTAGCCTAGCCCATAGGCCTATATGTTTTGATAAAGCACATTAATCCGATTTATAACGGGTGCAGAGCCTAACTGGCATGCATACACAGCGCGTGAGTTAAGCTTGGGGAAGATAATTGTCGCCATAAAAATGCACCTTTACAATAAAAGCAATACATGCATAAATCGCATTTGTGGTCACTTTTGAGAAAATTGAACATTCGCGCTTATAGCCTACTGCCGTGTGCACATTGCTGCACTTATGTGAAGAAATAGCCTAAGTTATCAACGTTTTAAGATAAACGTTCTCATCTGTTGTGTTAGTACTTTAAAAAAACAGGTTTTTTGATGCTAGTGGTTGCATCCCACAACTGTCCCAAACTATGTTTGGAGTATTTATTTCTCGCACAGCAGGACAAGTTGCCCAATAGAATTGGTCAACTTTTGTACAATGGGGGATAGTAGATTGACATAAGCTAGTGCTTTTGCTGTTCGGTAGTCCTACTCACAATGTGGACAATTCTTCCAATATGCGCCTCAGAATTGGATAAGGACGCGCGCAGTTGCATCCCCGATGTGTCAGTCTTCATTTGTGGCCTGCGAAAAAGACCCGATCACATGACGGAGAGCCATGTGGATGAGAGGTGTTGTCTCGGCACGCAGCCCAGAGAAGGTTATTATAATTATTAAATTCAGCCCAAGGGCACAATGGCCACTGGCAGCAAAGGGTATGGATTTTTTTAGGGGGCATTACGGCCACACAAAGGGGATGCAGCCGGGAAATTCGAAGCATTATCAAGTGCTTGTCAAATTGTGAATGAGAGACTGATGAAGTGTGTACAGCCTTCTCAAAAAACTAAGCAGAGCTCATGCCTTAGACTTTTTTTCAAATTAGTTGCATCATGCAGCCTTAGAATGTATTAGAAATCTAAACATATAGCCCAATATTTATCACAAGTTACATAACTCTAAATTAAGCATATAGGAGTACCCGTTTCTTTGTTAACCCCTCAACACAATAGCCACATGTGCGCACTCAAATCGTTTGGAGAAAATATATTTTATATTTCATTTCAGCTATGTTCAATTGTATTCTTCATACTACAAAATAATGCCACGAAATTCTAAGCAAATCGTGTCTGCTAAATTAACTAGTGTCGCACACAGCCATATGACATAGCCAGATCATGGCCTAAAGCACAACTCAGAGTACGCCATTATGTTCTTCTGAAATAGACTACATTTTCTTCTTATCATGTCTCTTTAGACAGGTCTAAAACAAATGGATGTATTGTGGATGGTGTAGGCAATATTACATGGATTTATTAGACTTTCTAAAATGTAGATGTTCTAAAAAGGTCTGCATCAGTGGCTTCTATGCTATGCGTGGAAGCCAGGAGATGCTAAATGGGTTTATGTTAATTAAGGGTAAATTACAGTGAGACCGGCAGTTATTTGCTTGACAATCACCAGCTGACAATATTTCATGACCGCCACAGCCCTACTCTGATCTTGCTTTCATAATTTTGACACAGCCCAAAGCAAAGGTTAGCTAAATGCACTCCAATATCAATGCCTTGAAAAGTTACATGATTTTTACAGAGTATATAATTATTGGAAACTAATCTCATGGCATTACAAGACCCATGTAATGTGAGCACAAGCAAGCACACAACACCAAAAGGTGCCTTACTTAAGAGGATCCTCATGGTCACTGTCGATGCTGTCAGCTTCACTGTCTGGATCTCCTCTCCATGTCTGGTCCAGCACCAGCGGTCCCTGCTCCTCCTCACTCCAGCTGTCCACATCTGACAGACAAGCACTAGTCAATACCTCTGCTCTACGGCATGGCTCAAAGCAACAAAGAAACAGGAAAGTCATGACACTAGCTAGCAAGTGCATTCGGAAAGTATTCAGACTTGACTTTCCACTTTGTTACGTTCAAGCCTTATTCTAAAAAAGGATTAAATCTCCCCCCACCTCAAATGTACACACAATACCCCATAACATATATATTTTTTTAAAATAGAAATCTGAACAAACAAAAAAATACTTCAATATCACATTTACATAAGTTTTCAGACCCTTTACTCAGTACTTTGAAGCACCTTTGGCAGCGATTACAGCGTCTAGTCTACTTGGGTATGATGCTACAAGCTTGGCACACCTGTATTTGGGGAGTTTCTCCCATTTTTCTCTGCAGATACTCTCAAGCTCTGCCATGTTGGATGGGGAGCGTCGCTGCACAGCTATTTTCAGGTCTCTCCAGAGATGTACGATCGGGTTCAAGTCCAGGCTCTGGCTGGGCCACTCAAGGACATTAAGAGACTTGTCCCGAAGCCCCCCCTGCGTTGTCTTGGCTGTGTGCTTAGGGTCATTGTCCTGTTGGAAGGTGAACCGTCGCCCCAGTCTGAGGTCCTGAGCAGGTTTTCATCAAGGATTTCTCTGTACTTTGCTCCATTAATCTTTCCCTCGATCTTGACTAGTCTCCCAGTCCCTGCCGCTGAAAAACAACCTCACTGCATGATGCTGCCACCACCATGCTTCACCGTAGGGATTTTGCCAGGTTTCCTCCAGACGTGACACTTGGCCAAAGAGTTCAATCTTGGTTTCATCAGACCAGAGAACCTTGTTTCTCATGATCTGAGAGTCCTTTAGGTGCCTTTTGGCAAACTCCAAGCCGGCTGTCAGGTGCCTTTTACTGAGTGGCGGCTTTCGTCTGGCCACTACCACAAAGGCCTGATTGGTGGAGTGCTGCAGAGATGGTTGTCCTTCTGGAAGGTTCTCCCATCTCCACAGAGGAACTCTGGAGCACCTCCCTGACCAAGGCCCTTCTCCCCGGATTGCTCAGTTTGGCCGGGCGGCCAGCTCTAGGAAGAGTCTTGGTGGTTCCAAACTTCTTCCATTTAAGAATGATGGAGGCCATTGTGTTCTTGGGGCCCTTTGATGCTGCAGACATTTTTTGGTACCCTCCCCCAGATCTGAGCCTCGACACAATCCAGTCTCTGAGCTCTACGGACAATTCCTTTGACCTGATGGCTTGGTTTTTGCTCTGACATGCACGGTCAACTGTGGGACCTTATAGACTGGTCTGTGCGTGCCTTCCCAAATCATGTCCAATCAAGTTGTAGAAACATCAAAGATGATCAATGGAAACAGGATGCACCTGAGCTCAATTTTGAGTCTTATAGCAAAGGCTCTGAATGCTTTTTATTCAATACATTTGCAAAAATGTCTAAAAACCTGTTTTTGCTTTGTCAATATGAGGTAGTGTGTAGATTGAGGATTTGTTATTTATTTTTTAAATTCATTTTAGAATAAGGCTGTAACATAAAAAAATGTGGAACAGGTCAAGGGGTCTGAATCCTTTCAATTAAGAAGGTCAAATACACTTCATTTCAGAACAGTCAGCACTAATCTAATGAATTCAGGGCTTGTGAAGTTATACCTAGGCTAAATATAAGCATTCCACAGCCATAAGACACACTAATAAACTATTCTCATAATAATTTAGTTAACTTGCTTTTTTGCAAGATTCACCGATCTGGCTTTCAAGTCTATGAAAATGCCCTTTGTTACAATTGTAACCAGAACCGTGCATTATGCACATTCACTAATAATGTCTAACATTTACATAGGTCACATCAACAAGCCCACGTGCTAGTGATTAGCCAGCTAATCTTTATATTTCAAGTTTAGCCAACTAGGATCTATTTGCTAGCTAACAAGGTTGAACAGTTTAATTGTTATGAACACAACCTTGTCGGTCTGTCTCCAACTGTTTGAAAAGCATGTTACCCTGTCCACTTTGTTCAGATGTTGAAATCAAATGGCCTACCTTATTGCTCAGAATGACAATGAGTTGCCAATTCCTTATATAAAATTGTGTTTTATGCTTATTGCACATTTACAAAACATATACTAGCTGTCTAGTCTAACAGTCTTTGGATAAAATGCTGCTAACCTACCAATTCCATGCACGACAAACGGAGCATTCACTTTCCAGAATCAATGTTCATTGATACTCTCGTTTTAGTAGTGTCTGCTCTGCGCGCAATTTGAGTAGTTGAAACAAAAATGGTATTGTTTGAAAAGTTAACTTCTCTATTACAGCAAAATAATGTCTCAATGTGTTTTTCCATATTAGATTATTTTGGACCAAACCTCAAATGCAAATAGTGAGTTGAAACCGCTTGCCAGAGAGGAAGATGTGATCTCTCAACTTTGTTGGTGCGAGAGGCAGGGGCTTGTTGTGTGTAAACCATAGAGGAAGAGGCAAAGCGAGCGGTTTCACTCGCACGGAAATCTGTCCAAAATAAGGCCAATGCGTTTCTATGGGCTTATTTTGGAACTAAGCTTGTTGCCTGCCTTCCCGCCTTTGGGACAACAACTCCCATTGTTAGGGCGGAGACGTGCATCTCGTCATTGTATACAGATCTCTGGTGTAAATGGGGAAGGTACACACAGCACAGAGGAGCGAAGGAGAGGAGACCAAAATTACAACATGAGAACATGCGGACATAAACACAAAAAAATAAAAAATAAATGTTAACTAAATTCTTGCGATACAGGCATTTGGAATATCGCGCAAAAACAAATGTATTCTATATAAATTGCCCAGCCCTACATCGAACACCTTTCGGATGAATTGGAACACCAACTGCGAGCCAGGCCTAATCGCCCAACATCAGTGCCCGACCTCACTAATGCTCGTGGCTGAATGGAAGCAAGTTCCTGCAGCAATGTTCCAACATCTAGTGGAAAGCCTTCCCAGAAGAGTGGAGGCTGTTACAGCAGCGGGGTCGGGGGACCAACTCCATATTAATGCCCATGATTTTGGAATGAGATGTTCGACGAGCAGGTGTCCACATACACTACATGACCAAGGGTATGTACAGTGCATTCGGAAAGTATTCAGGCCCCTTTGACTTTTTCCACTTCGTTACCTTCCAGCCTTATTCTAAAATGGATTAAATCAATTTGCAAACATTTCTAGAAACCTGTTTTTGGTTTGTCATTATGGGGTATTGTTTGTAAATAAAAAAAAGACATGAATCCATTTTAGAATAAGGCTGTAACATACAATTGAGAAAGTCAAGGGGTCTGAATACTTTGAATGCACTGTATGTTTTAGCTTGAAAAACATGTTGAAATAATGATTTAGAAAGTCATCATTATGATTTGTAAAGGAGGAGTTTTGTTCCTTCCAACTGAATTGACTATTCCCTTTGTTAATATGGGGGAATACCAACAGACCATGGGAAGATGTTAATGTTGGCCCTGTTAGGATCTGAACCGCTACCACAAGCTGTCAGACTTGATTTGGGCCCTTTTAGCAATAGTGTGTAGTAAAGGGAGAGTGAAATTAGTCCATGCATCTTCTGGAGGTCAAGCACATGTAAGAAATGAGGGTGCAAATGGGAAATAAGTTATTGTGCAGACTGGTTAAGAACTGAAGTTCACTCTAGGAAAAATTAAGTTATTCTAAAACATGTTGCCATTGCATATGGCTGTGAAGGGGAAAAAAAGATGCAGGAACGTTATTCACCTAGGATGCGGGTGGCTTCACTGCGGCCACTGTCCAGGCCATGCGTCTCAGGGCGGTTGTACCCACTGAGCTGAGATAGGAGGGCCTCAGGGGAGGGTCCGGACGAGGCCTTTCTCAGCTGGGCCTGGAGCGCCATGGCATTCCTTCTAGCGTGCTCCGCACAGAAGGTCACCCTGAATGTAGACATAAGAATCACACGTCAGATAAGAACTAATGTCACAGAGAATTCAAGATGTCGCAGATATTTCTGAAGAACTGACTTGAAAAGCAAAAGACTCAGTCTTCATTGATAAACTTCAAGTGTTTTCCCAAATTTAAGCCCATATACATCAAAATGTGGTTGTTTTGAGAGTTTGATAAAATGCATTTATATCCAAGTTGCTTCACTCACCCTTCTTTCTTTTCCACCTTAGGGGCTGCGTTCGGGCAGCGCTTGCCATTCTTGTTGGAGACGTAGCTACACTGTCTGTAAGGGGCGTTCTTGTCCTCCAGGACGTGTTTGATGCAGAACTCCAGGCCCTCCAGGCGCGGCTGGGAGCAGGGTCGCTGAGTGAAGGAGCAGGCCTGGGGCTCCTGGGTACGAGCGGTCTGGGCCACACGGCCCCTGCTCGATGGCAACACGTGGATCCTTATCCTGTTCATCACTGGTCCTGGAAGGGAAATACATGTTCCGGTGAGTACCAGGGGCTGAACCAGCAACCCTACAGTTACAAATCGACATAGCTACTTAGGTGAGAATTGGGTAATATTGACATTTTAGTCATTTAAGCAAATACTCTTATCCAGAGCGACTTACAGTAGCGAATACTTTTTTTTTGCTGGTCCCCCGTGGGAATCGAACCCACAACCCTGGCTTTACAAGCGCCATGCTCTACCAATTGAGCCATATGCGACACCACAATATGTGGTGGCAAACAAAGAACTGGGGGAATTTCAATGGAATCTTAATACTACAATACAATAAACATGGGACATGATCAAAGAAATTATAAAGTTTCAATTGTGTGTCAGTTGTTCACGGACCTGACCCATGTCACATTAACTTAATTTGTAATTCAAGCCTTACTCAATTCTCTTTCATCAAGGATTTCCACAACCTCAGCAATCAATAGATACATACTAAAACAGGTGCATCAGCATAACCAGTGACATAATTGGGCTGGAGGACAGAATAACCAGAAGTAAAGAATGAAAGGTCAAGAAAAGCACAGGACACTTACTCATGACAGCTGGCAAGCTTATTTGCCACATGAACATGGTTTCAGATCTGACCTTTGCACCATGCTGCTGACTGATAAGTTATGCAGAATAGTAGAGACACGGACCTTTTCATTGCAAACATATTTATACAAAAATGTTAGTTACTTGCTACGTTAACTTATAAGACATTTGTTGTAACTAGCTGCCAAACAAGTATGTTGTTCAGGATAAAACTGTACTCTACCATCTGTGCCATACACTTGTGCTGTGACGATCCTGCATAAAACCCAATCACGCGCCACATGGAACAGGTCCGCCTTCTTTTAGCTCAACGACAGCGAATTGTAGCTTTTGTGTTAGCTTGTTAGCCCGCTAGCTTTAGCAGCCATGTTTGTTCAGCGTTCCTTAGTCTCTATGTGGCAAAGTATACTGCTTTATACGCTGTCGTTGATGTACAGATGCACTCTAATATAATCAAAATAAGTTAATAACTCCAAATTACTTTTATATCGGATTTTGGTTAATACAACGACGAGGAGCTTACCGTGTCCTTACCTAAACAGTCCTCGAAGCACAATGCCACTGCGTCGTTTTTCCCGCACTCTCCTATCAGTTCGTTGAGAAGATGGACCCGCCCCATTTGAGCTTTGATTGGTCTAGACTTGTGGGTGGGAAATACACGATAGGTTGAAAGACCTGTCTCTCAATTTACAAAACCCACATCTGAGCATGTAGATATTAAATGTCGCTAGCGACCTCAGTATATTATTATTTATGTTAACAAAGATTGTTGCATGATCATAAAATACAAAATAAAAATGAGAAAGGGATGTTTTTCTTAAAACATTTATTGACATGGGATTATATCAACCACATTTAAAAAATGAACTTTGTTCACAACAAAACGCATACCTTTAGTTTATTTTAAACAATATATATCCCAAAAAGTTCAATTACAGACCTGAGTTGTGGTACAACTGAAACATTAAGACGTGACAATAAGTACAAACAGATACAACTTTTGAGCAGTTAATGAAGTACAGAGGAGTAGCAATGTGATTTTGCATTTGGTTGCATGAGTGTCTTCCATCTATTTTCATAATTTCAGCTTCATTTCGTGGTCATTCATGTTCAACAAGCACTCGCACAAGACATATCGCATACAGTCATCCATGTATCAGTCCAAATCCATTGATTCTTAGCTTAATTTAGTACTAATGGGTATCTTATATAATACAAAACAAAATGGAAGCATAATGCTCCTAGTAATACATGTTATAATTTCCTCCGTTTTTAACAATAAAAAAGCAATGTTTGTTAGACAATCCTGATGGGATAACGTTTCAGTGCATTTTGAAGCATATCCATGTTTCTCTTTATATATCATCATAAAGGCTTACCTGAGTGACAAAAATCAATGGTTGGACTCAAGTACTGTAGAAACTGGGCAGACTTAGGCCATTTTAGGTAGCCTAGGAAACAGCAGAAATGTATTCCCTTCATGCGTCAGTTAAAGTAATAGAAAACAGCCCCCAGAATAATGACAACTCTTTCCTTTATATACAAAACCAAAACAGCAGGAACACCACATGATCAAATCAGTATGCTACAGCTTTGTTACATGATCTCCAAAAAATAAATCTGTCCATTGGCAGCTTATTGGACCGAGAGAGTTCTGATAGAAATGCCTGAAACATGGCAGAGCTAAGTTACAGCCCACTTCATTTCCACTATCACACATTCTTAAACATGATTCCCAAAACATGATTTAATGCGAGAATACCAGTTTATGAACATGAAAAACAGCATATTTGGACATGAATGGGACGATAATTATTATATCTTAATTGAACAAGTCACAGAAATTAAATCCTGACAGTTATGGTTGACACAGTGGTACCAGAGATTTTCTTATGTTAAATCCTCTAATCTCTCAGTTAAGCATGTGTAATTGCCACAAACAATCATAGTGTGGAGTGAGACCAGAAAAATAATATCTAAATAATATGGACAAAAGATTATGCACCTTACTAAAATCTCCCAAAAAGGAAATTTCAATTTCATTCAAATGAGTGAAGACATCAGTTATCGTTAAAACAGTAGTGGAAGTAACACTTAATTCTGTTCAAAACACACAAAAATACAAAATCAGTCCATTATCAAAATGATTGACACTGCTGTGGTTTGTATATGAATATGTAGATACACTACATGGCCAAAAGTATGTGGACACCTGCTCATCAAACATCTCATTCCAAAATCATGGGCATTAATATGGAGTTGGTTCCCCCTTTCCTGCTATAACAGCCTCCACTCTTCTGGGAAGGCTTTCCACTAGATGTTGTTACATTGCTTCAGGGACCTGCTTCCATTCAGCCACAAGAGCATTAGTGAGGTCGAGCACTGATGTTGGGCGATTAGGCCTGGCTTCCAGTCAGCCTTCCAATTCATCCTAAAGGTGTTCGATGGGGGTTGAGGTCAGGGCTCTGTGCAGGCCAGTCAAGTTCTTCCACACTGATCTTTAAAAAAACATTTATGTATGGGCCTCGCTTTGTACACGGGGGCATTGCCGTGCTGAAACAGGAAAGGGCCTTCCCCAAACTGTTGCCACAATGTTGGAAGCACAGAATTGTCTAGAATGTAATTTTATGCTGTGGCGTTACGATTTCCCTTCACTGGAACTAAGGGGCCTAGCCAAAACCATGAAAAACAGCCCCAGACCATTATTGCTCCCCAACAAACTTTACAGTTGGCACTATGCATTTGGGCATCCACCAAACCCAGATTCACTGTTGGACTGCCAGATGGTGAAGCCTGATTCATCACTCCAGAGAATGCGTTTCCACTGCTCCAGAGTCCAATGGCGGCGAGTTTTACACCACTCCAACCGACAATTGGCATTGCGCATGGTGATCTTAGGCTTGGGTGCGGCTGCTCGGCCATGGAAACCCAGTTCATGAAACTCCCGACGAACACTGTGCTAACATTGCTTCAAGGCAGTTTGGAACTTGGTAGTAAGTGTTGCAACCGAGGACAGACAATTTTACGCACTTCAGCACTACAGTTCTGTTAGCTTGTGTGGCCTACCACTTCACAGCTGAGCAGTCGTTGCTCCTAGATGTTTCCACTTCACAATAGCAGCACTTACAGTTGACAAACTGACTTATTGGAAAGGTGGCATCCTATGACGGTGCCACGTTGAAAGTCACTGAGCTCTTCAGTACGGGCCATTCTACTGCCAATGTTTGTTTATGGAGATTGCATGTCTGTGTGCTCTATTTTATACACCTGTCAGCAACAGGTATGGCTGAATTAGACAAATCCACTAATTTGAATGGGTGTCACATACTTTTGGCCATGTAGTGCATGTACTGTAGTATAAACTCTGAATGTTAGTGTAATTATTTGAGTATTAACATTTTACAACCATTTAAAACAATGACTGCAACACATAAAAATCTAGGAACTAAAATACAAGCCGTATCAATTTACAGGATTTTTTGCAACCTCTTTCTTAACAAAATGTAAAAAATATTTGAGTCCACTTTCACCAATTTACATTATTAATATATAACAATTGTTTACCAAATAATGCAGATTACAAAACTAAAACACAAAAAAATAAAAATAACTATGCTTCAATGACTACAGTATTTTGAAACAAACAAACATTTTGAAAACGATGGCTTTGAAGACATGCATTCTCAAATAGGCCTGTTTAAGGAGCACTCAACTATCCTTCAGTTTAACAGGACACAGCAGAAAGGGCCGGGGAGGCAGTTGGTAAAGAAAGAAAACTTCCTCAAAAGCATTCAATACTAATAATAAATAGTATATTTCAAAAACATTCTGAAAAAGACTAATCGTTAGCAAGACTTTAAAATTTCCTCTACTATGCATTCAAAACATGTAATGTTTGACTTTCTTTTAAAACAGCCATGGCTCAAATATTATGCCCGCCATTCCATTCTATTTGATTTTGAGTTCCAAACTGAATAACTTCCCAAAAAAGTATTTACATTGTGAATAAATAATTTAGTTCGTTTCATATTTTTGCAAGCTTTTCTTTCACACCTCCTGTTATTGCCCCACAGATGTATTGGATATGATGTAATGAGGGAGAAACTTCAGCACATCACTGAAAAGTATGTATTAGTACATTTCTTTGCTGTCAAGTTGAAAACCACAAAACATGATCCATACAAACACATAAAAGGGACAAAAAATTCACAGAGCAAATATCTTATGTAACATGGTTGGATGATGTGTCTACAGATACACTGTCATTAATTCACCTCTTCATTTGGGTAGAGGGGGTAGCGGAGGTGGAGGTTCAGCAGGCAGAGGTGGCGGTCGAGACCCCCCCCTAGACCCTCCACTGTATCTGTACTCCCCGTACTGAGACCGGCAATCAAACATGGGAGGCTGGGCAGGCTGGACCCCCTGAGCACTCAGTAAAGAGTTCAGCATCTCAAACGTGTCCTGGTACTCATTCGACTGGCTGCCAACCCCTGCATTGTGTCCGTTAGTGTCCGGCTTGTCCCCCTTGGCGTGAGAGTAGTTTCCCTGGTGGAGGGAGGGGAGACCCAGGGAGGGGAGGATGTCAGTGGGGTGCGCCCCCAGGGAGTGTGCTCCAGAGGCAGCTAAAAGAGCAGGCAGTTGGTGGGCTGAGTTCCTGGAGGACTTAGAGACTTTGGAGGGGTGGGAGCCCTGGGACTCCGTGGAATGTGTCCTCTTTCGAGACGCAGAGGAAGAAGAGGAGCTCATTCTAGCAGAGTCACTGGAGGCTTTTTTGCTGCTGCTTCCTCCTACAGCACTGGCTGAGTGTTTATGTGACGAGGATGAAGAGACAGAAGCACCGCTCAAAGACGACAATGAATGATGGTGGTGGTGATGATGATGGTGGTTGGAGCGTTCTCTGTGCTTTCCCTCCCTACTCTTGCCCCCCTCCTCTCCCGAGCCTCCACTTCGTACTTTCTCAGGCACCCGGATTCTCACTTTGATGTCCTTTTCTCCTCCTGCTCCTCTGTTCCCTCCTCCACTGTGCCCCCCGCCTCCCCCAGACCCCAGAGGGAGGTGCATCTTCAGGGAGCTGCGCTCGCCCCTCTCCTTTTCCAGGGGTATCTTGAGGATGATGGGCGAGGGGCTGCTGAGGCCAGAGGAGGCTGAGCTGGAATGGTGGGAGCTGGATTGCTGCTGGTCACGGTGGTGCTTCTCCTTCCTCTGCTGCTGGCCTATCAGAGCCTGGGCTGCCGTGGCGTACTCCTTCTTCACGCTGGCCTCCATGTTCTCCAGTTTCCTCTTCTGAGCAGCCAGGACGTCAGCGTGCTTGGCCCGGTACTCGCTCAGTGACACCTTGGCCGGGGCGTGCAGCTCGGCGTGGCTGGGCTGGTCGGAGCCACTGCCCAGGGTCGACTTGAGCTCCAGTAGTATGGGAGCCATGGAGGAGGAAGAAGAAGAGGGGTTGGAGAGGCTCATCAGGCCGCCCAGCGTGATCTCAGACGACGACATGGAGACCATGCTCATCATGCCATCTGTCTGATCCCCGTCCTCTGGCACCTTGGACTTCCCTCCCTTCACTGTCTGACCTGCCGCCTGGGACAAGAAGTCACGGAGTTAGGCAATGATGGAGCTACCTTTAAGTCAGGAAAGACCCTTTTGCGAGGGCGACCTGAAAGAAATGGAGCTATGAAAATATATAAAATGAGCGCAAGTATGTTACAAAGTACGACTTACTTTCCAGTTGCGAATACGTTTTAATCGGCTTGGTGTCTTCTCCAAGATCTGCAGGAACTCGTGGGTGAGCTCTACGGAACAAAGTATTACAAAGGGCTCTGCAATTCAGTTCATTACAATACAATCTAACCAACACCTGCACAAACATGCATAATGAAATTCAGTCAAACTTACCATCCAGCAGCTCGAGGGTGACAGTATTGTCCACATACTCCCACCAGTGCTTGCTGTCTGTGGAGACAGGGATCTCCCAGTTGGACCACTTGCAGGCCAGATGGATGCAAACGCAGGCCACAATGGGCGGGCTGTGCTGCAGGCAGAATGTGGTCAGGTGTAGACTACACAGCAGGTTGGGTCCAAGATAAACCAGCCAAAGGAAAATCCAGGGAAAACAGGGAAAAAACAAGAGGGGGGAGAAGGGGGGAGAAGAAACAGATTCAGTTTCAGAATATAATGAAGAGGACCGTGCACCTCTTAGATGGGTGGTCATTTCATTCAAATACAGGCAGATCAGACAATGTTGCATTTAATTTTTATTGAATAATGTTATATTGAATTGAAATTAAAAGCGCAAAGTTGAACACAGCAGAGTGAACAGCATACCTGTTGGTAGCCATGAAGTATGATGTCTGGGCCAAATCCTTACTCGCTGGAACAACAACACGAGAAACAAGAAAATACAATTAAAACCTGCTGCGTTCAATATACTGGCATTAAAAACATTTGATTAAAATATTCATAAATAATACCTTTAACTAAGCGAGAACCATTTATGTCATTGTAAAAGTACTACTAGGGTTTGGAAACTTCACCAGTAGCCTACAAAGGGACTTTGTTGATGCTTACCTCTTACTAGCTGGGTGCACTTGACAACATGAGTATGTGGGTGGTCAATGGTGATTTCAAAGGCTGTAATGAATAGGGCAGAGGGGAGACAGAGAAAAGGTTCCATGAGTGACAATTTCGAATCGTCTTTATGAGAATTTGAGGCTGCTAATGCAAAATACAAATTTTTACTCAATAGGTACTGAATTTATTGGATATTTCAGTACTCTCACTGAGCGTTAATATAAATCATTCCCGGAAAACCAATGTACTTGTTTTATGAAACTATATTAAATAGTGAATGAATGCACTGCTTTAGATCTTCAGATGACAGGCCCTGTATAAGACAAATGTGAATGAGTGAGTAGAGAATAAAAAAAAAGTTTCACATTTACATTTAAGCCATTCATTGAGACAAAGGTCATAGGTGGTGAATGGCCATTTTAGCAGGCAATCCCAATTCTATCAATACTGTACTAAATTAACTTGCTCTCTAATATGATTAGAACCTAAATATCCTCCATCACCACAACCTGCACCACAATTACTTGAATCAAATGAATGGCTTAAAATCATGAGGAAAATGTGAAGAGAAAGTGCTACAATATAAACTTCATATGAAGACAAAAGTAGGGAACCAAAAATGCAAGACAGTAGTGATAGTGAGCATAGAGGACTAGGTGATGTGTGGACTTCCAATAGAATGGACTGCTACTCAAAACTCTGTGGACAAGAACAAAGATGGTTAATAATGTCAGCAAGCAGCACATCTCTAGTTTGGGATGAAATCAAAGACCCCATTCATTTTTCCATCCCAACTTACCCAGGGTCTGGAGTATAATGCTCTCAAGAATGACCAGGTCTTGGGCTTGTTGCAGGTAAGCCTGAGGTTGAGAGGACAGGCAGGAGACAGGCATTACTCACTAGGAGGCATTCTCTCTCACCCTTATGTCTCACTCACCCTCTTGCCTTCCCTTTACGCAGTCTTACCTTCAAGGAGGTACAATTAGGCTTGGGCGGTATCTAGATTGTCATACCTTCAGACAGACCTTGTGCCATACCTTCAGACAGACCTTGTGCCCTACCGGGATATTCTGTAATCCCCGCACTGAACACAAACCCCACTGAGCCTCTAATCCGAAGGTTACGAGGAGGTTAGCCGGTAAATGACAGCTTTTGTGCGAGAGGAGAAAATAATCCATTGATGGAACTACCAGTCGAAGTGCTCCAACTTCAAAGGCAAATATACTTCATAGCCTAATAAATATACTTCACAGGCTAATAAATCTACAAGCAGCTTGGAAATTAGTGTTGTTTCTATTTTTACTCCCGCAAAAGACGTCAGGTCCTCATAAGGGACTTCAGCGAAGTATACCCCGACTGGGCAAAATTGGCAAAGATTGTGTTGATTATCCCCCTTTCCAGTATCCAGTATGCCCGCCGAGAGGGGTTTCTTTCTCCAAAACAGAGTAAAGACAGCCTCAAGATCGCGCCTTCCCGAGGACAAAGTAACGAGGCTGATGTGCATTGCAAGCTGCTCATAAGAGTTGGGACAGTTTTGACTTCCCAACAGCAGCGGCTCACTTTGATAGACAGGTGTGTGCCTTTCCAAATCATGGCCAATCAATTGAATTTGCCACAGGTGGACTCCAATCAAGTTGTAGAAACATCTCAAGGATGATCAATGTTTTTAATAAATTAGCAAACATTTCTAAAAACCTGTTTTCACTTTGTCATTATTGGGTATTGTGTGTAGATTGATGAGGAAAAACATTTATTTAATCCATTTTAGAATAAGGCTGGAACATAACAAAATGTGGAAAAGGGGAAGGTGTCTGAATACTTTCCGAATGCACTGTATATTGGAGGCTAATTGTGTTCGTCAGGCCCGGTCTTAGCAGTTCTGCTGGCGCCCTTGTCAAGATCAACATATGCCGCCCCTGTGTCATGTATAGTATAATGATTTGGAATGGATTGATAGACTAGAGTAAGGATGTGTATCATGCACAATTGGTGCATTTCAGTTGAGCTTATTCAGTAGCACTTGGAAACAAAATATTGTTGCCGAAATATTCACATCGGAGAGTTACAATGTTGCAATCACTAGGCAGCCAACTGCCTATAGTAAGAAACAGAGTTATCAATAAGCCACGTACATCACATGACAACCCCACTATAGTTCAAATTACAATAAACACACCATTTATTATCATCCAGTATAACTGTAAAAAGAGTGAGATATCATTTGACATTTGGAAACAAGTGCTTCATAAATCCATAGAGCGGAGCTCGTGTCACAGGAGTATTGTAAAATAAGCTCTCTCAATGAACCAGCCTTAACGAAATGTGTTCATTTGATTGTCCAACATCAGTTTTACAATTTCTCAATTTTGTGGCCACAAAGAGTGGCCTCTTTCCACTGTTGTGGTGCTGAATCGCAGTGAGAATGAGGAGTGGGACGGGCTGGCCCTGATGTTCGTAGACAGCCATGTTTTGTTATTTATTAGACCTAATTAAAATGTTCATGCCTAGGCTAAATTAAATTAGAGGCCGAGATTGTATTTGTGTTTTGTTATTTATTAATTCAAATGTTCATACGAACAGCCTATTGGACAGGTCGTTTCCAAATTATATTATACAAATATTATATTTTTAAGTGGTATTTTATTGCTGTGTAGGCGACTTGTTCTTCTAGGTTAAATGTTTATTTATTTTTGAGTTTTGATTTATAGCAGGGATGAAGACAATGGGCAATGAACATCATTCTACTTTATTACATCTTTACAGGCTCATTTCTATTCTTTTAAGAAGAATTACAATAATCTAAATGTGATTTTGAGCACCGTGGGTGGACACCTTAATGCGTTACGCACCCAATGCATATGGATGTCCGGTAAATTTCTCAAATGTCTGGTAAATAAAAAATGTCCTCCCGGAAACCCAAGTAAAATCCCAAAGCTAACTAAATGCTTACGAGCACATTGTGAATATTTTATACAGTGTCTGACCTAAACTATTATCAGGACATACGTCCCAGCTCATAAAGTTATACAAGTAAGCTACTCGCAGTTTGTTGCACGCACAGAACAAATATAAGACAGCAAGGATCTTAATCCAGGACGGGATTCTCTTCTGTTAACAAGCTAAACTTGATTTTGGAAGAAGCTAACCACTAAATTAGCACACCAAATGCACAACTGCAGAGCATTTTTAGCACATTTTAGACAGTTAACTTAATAGTTGTGAATTCCATACTGTAACTAGATCACCTGGTGCATGCTGCACAACAGTGACTGACTCACAAGGCTCTAGTCTCGTGTGCTTGTAAACAAACACCACGTGACTGGAGACTACGGGTAAGCTTCATAATGAAAAAATATGTGACAGGTGAAATAAAGAACGCAATCTACTTTATCTCCTAAAGTATTGCAAAAAAAAACTTCCAATAAATAGTTAATGGTATTGAAAAACCATCCCGTGGCTATTTCTAAATACCCTGGTATACGGTATACCGCCCAAGCCTAGGTACAACCGCCTCAGAACACCCAATGGCTGTGACTATACCAGTATTGCAATATTTTTTTCATGACAAAAAAGAAAACACGAAGCAGACCCTTTAAAAATCTGCTGTATATAAAGTAGTGTGCTATAGCTTGTCAAATAAATAAATTAGACTCTGGATGACAACAGGTTTGTTTCCAACATTAGGGCTGTTTTCCTAAAGAAGTGAAATATGCTTAGTGTTTTGTTTCCTTGCCACGATACCAACAAGTATAGTGATACTGGTATCATCCCGGCCCTAATAAACATACCCAAATCAGTTTGTGGAGCACAATGCAAGTGCCAGAGTGAGTTCAAAGTGGAGTGGCCAGACCATGGAGACTTACATCACTGCGGACATCTGGTGATGGGTCCTGAGGGTTGAGGCATGCATGGGTCACCTTGATAACATGCTCCAACTTGCGGGGCTGCTCCTCAACCTTTGCAGCCAGGAATAGTGTTGCTGGAGCTATGACCTACGGGGAAAAATTGGACAAATTGAATCAAAATATGCTGTCCTGATAGTGCTACGCATTTTACACATTGTTTATTTCAAACTATACAAGATACAACATTTTGCAAATAAGGCTGTCAGTGTGTGCAAAGTACTTACATTTCTGTGGAACCTGGTGAATGACTGGATCATGTAGAATCGGTGCATATACACAATGGCAGTATTAATTGTTAGCTGGGACCTGATGCATAACTACAGGTTAAGGGTTATAACATAACAATAATATGACCTGATGTCTCAGTGAGATATATATTACCTCAACTACGTCAACTAGCCGGTACCCCCCTGTATATAGCCTCCCTACTGTTATTTTATTTTACTTCTGCTCTTTTTTTCCTCAACACTTTTTTTGTTGTTTTATTTTACTTTTTTATAAAAAAATTAATGCGTTGTTGGTTAAGGGCTGTAAGTAAGCATTTCACGGTAATGTCTACACCTGTTGTATTTGGCGCATGTGGCAAATAAAATTTGATTGAACACTCACTACTTGAAGGGTTAAATGATAAATAGTATATTTGATTGATGACTGCGTATGTTATGTAACAGCAGCTACCAACTATTTTCAAAACTAGTTTTGGTTGTAGCCGAGTGATCTAGTACTGCTGTAACAACTCCTAATGTTGACAATGTCTGTTGTGGTACGTAGTAGGATAACGATGTATCTAGCCGGCTAGAACTGCATTGTGGGTCAGATAGTTTGCTATAGCTAACAAGATAGCAAATAATGACCACAAAGAAGCCAACCGTAACAAATAAAATAGGTACTAAAATGTCTTAATCTCAATTAGCATGGACATTTTATCTAAGAGTATTGGACCGCTCACCAATACCATGTCTAGTAGTTAGCTAGGTAACGTACGCTTGGTTTGAAAACTTGTGTTGTTAACCTATAGTTAACTAATCGTTATCTAGAGCAGAGAAATAGATTGTTAGCTTTAACGTTACTCGTTAGCGCCCAAAACAGCGCTCTAACAATTTTTGGCCAACAAAGCCAAAAACGTTATGCGCTTATCAAAATATTAAAGTGTTTGATACACCAAAACCCCAATTATAATAGCTAAACAACTCTAACGTCCCTCTGCTCGGCTTTTGTTCTCTAAAGTTACAGGAAGCGTAGGCCTAGGCTGCAAAGGCCTACACAACCTTAGCTGGCTAGGCTAACTAACGTTAGTTAGCCATGCTAATCAAACGCAATGATGGCCGGGCCCTTGCTAGCGAGTCGCACGTCTGGGCCGCTAGTTTCAACTAACTAACTAGTAACAACCCAGTCCAGTCTGAACCAACCACATGAACAAATTGTGGTATCAACAATAACACCAACTAACGTTATATACACACACAATAGCAGATATTAGCTAGCAACTAGCCATGCCGCCAAACCGGCTTCAACCTCTTGTAGCTAGCTAGCCGCTAGCAGGCACAAATCGTCCCCGACAAAAGATACACATTGAGTCGTTGTCCCATGTCCTGTAGAAGGTTCGCAGCTTGCTGTCTGTAGGACAATTCCTTGTCTGGATCAAGCCCCGCTCGGCGAGACGGGCTATTCTCGATCTGTTCTCTGGTGAAGTACCATTTGTTGTTGTTTGTTGCAGAAGGAGAAGGAAAGGAAGCCGCCATTACTGAGAAGGACAATATTTTAAAAAAATTGTGGATACAGGAAGTGACGTCAATGGTGTGAATGGCAAGTGTCCCCAAAGCAAATATTTTGGTTCCTCTCCAACCCAAGCAACATTTCTAAACATCTCGAATATGGTGTAAATGCAGACCGCAATTCAGGTCGTTTCTTGATGTGGTTGTTCCCTATCAGCAAAACGTCCATTGATACCTGCCATTAGTCAGATTCGGTGTTATAAGATTGATGGTTCACATTTAAGTCATTTAGCAGACGCTCTTATCCAGAGCGACTTACAGTTAGTGAGTGCATACATTTTCATACTGGCCCCCCGTGGGAATCGAACCCACAACCCTGGCGTTGCAAACGCCGAGCTCTACCAACTGAGCTACACGGGACTACACGGGATTCTAACAAATATGATTTGTTTACATAGCAGGTTAGGATATTATGGGAGGTTAAGTGAATTAGCGTGGCTGGTTAGGAGACGGAGGTTAAGGTTAGGAAAAGGGTTAGGCTTTGCTACAATGCTACAGTTGTCAACAATTGTTGTCCCCAACGTTAAAGAAACGGCCACGGACCAATGGCGAGCATCAATAGGTGTAACTTGATATCAAGAAAAGCCTATATCAGAAAACGCCCCAAATTGCATTCTACAATTACATCTCTGGTAAAGATATGGAACCCATCGGATGTTCAGGGTTGGGGAGTGAATGATTACATATAATCAGTTACATGTAATCTGATAAAAGAACACATTAACTGTAATCAGTTAAATTACCAACAAAACATTGTAATCAGATTACAGATACTTTAGAAAAACTAGGATATTACTTATTGGATTACCTTTTAATTCAGAAAGGATGTTTGCGAGAAAAAAACATGACACTGTTTTCGCAATTACATTCAAATCAACATTGAAAAAAGGCGCAAGTTTAAGTTTGTTCTGCCTGAGCGAGCCTGACCACAAGTCAGAGACCACTATGATGCACACCAAGTAATCAGATTATGTTACAGACTTTGGGTAATCAAAAAATTATGTTAAAGATTTATCCCATTACTCAACATGAAAGCAGATCTAATTAAATGGAACAATCTTCCCATAAATCTTACCAGGTAGAATAAACCACTTTAGAAAGGCATGGGTCCCACATTTTCTATTTTTCAGTAATACCAATTACCCCACAAAAGACATTCTTAAAAAAAACAAAGTATACTTGGCCACAAGACTTTGGATGGGCAAATAAAACTCAAGACTAAATAGTAAAGTTTTACATGTCCCTAAGTCTGAGGGTGGTTTTAACCTTCCAGACTTGGAATTTTATCAATTTGCCACCTAAGGTTTTTACTTGCAACATATTGTTAAATGCACTAAAGAGGAACAATGAGTACATATTGAAGATGCGCATGCTCAGCCCAATAATCTTTTCACGGGTCTGTTTTGGCGCTAAGACCATAAAAAACGTAATAGTTAAGAACACTATAACAATCTGGAAGAAAATGAAACTGATTCTACAAGAACAAATATCACCCCTATGGAACAATCCTTGGATAGCTTTTCAGAATTCACAAATAAATTGGCCCACATGGAAAACTAAAAGGCAAACCGTAAATGACTTGGTAATAGGAAATACAATTATTTCCATGACAGAATTAAAAAGCAAATTTGGACTGACCAACATAGACATTTTAAGTATAAAACTAACAGTGACTCAATGATCATGGCACTCCCAGAAGGTATGAAAGTCCAAAAGTTATTGGAGGAGTAAATATCCTGAACAAAAATGTAAACGCAACAATTTCAAAGATTTTACTGAGTTACAGTTCATATAAGGAAATCAGTCGATTGAAATACATTTATTAGGCCCTAATCTATGGATTTCACATGACTGGGCAGGAGTGCAGCCGTGGGTGGGCCTTGGAGGGCATTCTGTATGTACACTCAGCAGACCAGGTGAGTGCATCTATAACGCTACAAAATTGTGGCATTGACCCAATGCTCACAAACGTCTCCCTTTTCTTGTCTCACTTCCTATATTGATACTGATTAGTGAAATAATGTCCTGACTTGTCAGCTCACAGGTCTGGCAGTGTAAGAACATAGTCCAGCATGTTGTGCACCTGTCAGGCCACTATCTGGGGGACTCAGTGAGGAGGGTGCCCTGCTACCAGGCCATGTACTCCACTTGGTACAACTAGACAATAATCAAATAGCAAACCTATGGAAAGAATAACAGCAACTCTGGAGAAGAATTGAAAACTACTTTAATGACCAAATGTAATACAACTGACAAGCTATATACAGTACATTTCAATTCTGTTTGCAACACAAAATAAAAAAGCATAAATCAGCGCTTAAAAATACCCCAATTTATACTGTCACATTTCCAAATCGTTCAGAACGCTTCTGTTTCTTTGCCTGCGGAAAAATATGAAATCATAAATGTTTACTCTCTCTTTATGGTATAAAATAGGAAAGATATACCTGTAATATATACCTGTATCGATTCGATAATAAACAGAATCTGAAAACATACCTCAACGTCAGGTGCGACAGCTGCAGCAGCAGTGAGGATCCCAAATCTTTCTTTCCGCTTCTTCAGCTTTTCATCTTCCTCAACCTGGAACACACAAATATGGTCTTAAATCTGTAACATGGAGGTGGCTTAGCCTAATCAGAAATGCTGAAGTATAATCACTAGGTTTCAATTCAGCATTTCTTTCAACTTTTAGGATGCCTTGTAGTCTAATCTAGAAGCTGGCCTTTCCCTACGAGCTCACCTTCTTGGAGACTGAAGAAACGTTCCCGCCAAATCGTTCAGCTCGCTTTTTTAGCTGTTCAACGCTGACCGGCTACACAGAACACAGAGTGAGAGAAATATTTCATGAAATCGTCTGAGTCACTAATGGTCACATTAATTAAATGAGGAGAGGTGACTGCTTATCACACAGATATGTGGATTACTTGCAGTGGATTTATTCACAGTAACACCTATGATAGAAAGAAAAGAGGAAAAAAAACACTGATTAAAACCAGAGAGCCAATGCAGGAGAAAACATTGTATTGTTTTCCTACCATTACTTGTCATAAATTATGTTGTTCAACCTTTTTTAGTAAACTTACTGCAGGTTATGGTTCTTGGAAAAATAACATTAAAACCACACAACATGAGAACTGTAAATGACTGGAAGATTGAGACTGACCCGTGGTGGAAGTTGGAGGTGCAGCAGCGGGCAAACCAAACCTGAACACAAGACATATTTAATAAACTTTAATATATAGTTTCATAGATATGCCCAATCAATAGTCAATTAATAGTGCAGGGGATAGTTATTCTATAATTTAGAAGAATGGTTGGGTACTTGTGGGGTACTGACCTGGCAGCACGTATGGCCTTCTTGCTGTCAGCTGATGCAGGGACATTGAAGCGGTCTGCTCTTTTCTGTAACCTCTGGGAATACGGGATTAAAAAGATGTTCACGATAAGGTTAGCACACCATCATTGCATCGAAGACCTGTCATGACTGGTGAAAGAGTGCAACAAGCATCGTATTACCTCATCCACAGACACTGGAGGTTTGATTTTTACCACTTTCTTTTCAGACGTCCTGTAAAACATTCAAATCACATTGATTAACATTTCAATAATTAGGGGCATCAGATCATGAAAAGAAAATGTCCCTCTTCAATGAGTGTCAACATAAAATGAAAAACGTACTCCTCAGACACTGCTACTGGTTTCTCATCGTTATCCCCAGTGACGGCATCCTCCTCTTTTGAGAGGTCCTACATGTCAAATGCACAAAGCATCATCAAGAAATGCTCCTACGATTATACATTTATTTTCATGTCAGATATTTCACCCAAGCAATTGTAGCATGTACAAAGTGACTTTATACTGTATATGATGAAAGTCATACTGGACATGGTGGAAGTCACCTAATCCATACATGAAGTGCCATTGCAGCCATACCGTTTTAAAACCAGGCTTACCTCTGGCTCTTCTCCCAGCACATCATCTTCAATTAGGCCTATGTCATCCTCTGTTTAGGAAAAAAATCATAGATTTAAGCACCCTTTTCATAGACTGGGTGGAATTCTTGCCATATTGCTCACACCTTTTAGAGTGTCAAGGGGTTGGGGCTAGATGTCAGCAAGTTCACACTTTCCACTCCATGGGCCAGTTTACCTGACAGGTGAAGCCTAGCCCTTACTTCAGGACCTAAAAATATGCTAAATGGAGAATATATTTAGGCCAGCACTAGGTTTTATCTGTGTCTGGGAACCTGACCCCATGCGTATTTAGTCCATCCATTATTGCATGCTCACCATGCTCCTCTAGATGAGCCTGTAGTCGTGTGATCAGTTCCACTTTGTTGCCCTTCACGTCCAGACCCCTGGCTTCACACTCCTGCTTCAGCTCAGCAAGCTGTGGAAGGACAGAAAAGTGTGGATTGCTGGTTAGATTACATTTTAGATGGCAAATTCCCACTAAATGGCAGTTCTTGCAATTGAAATTGTACTGCCCAACAGTGTTTGGGGGGTTGTGGGGGGTGGGGGAGGTCCCTCCTACAATTTAGAAGCTCAGTTCTGATGACTTTTTTAAAGGACACGCTACTCCAAAAATGAATTAAAATAAAAGTATGCTGACACCATCTAAAATATAATATCCACCTCCAGAAATTAGCCCAATAACACATTGTTATTTTTCTTTTTACATATTGGTCCATGTAAATAGCCTATACATGGTCCATATGATCAGGTATACTATTAGCAATAAACATCATCTGTAGCCCAACTGATGAAGCACATTGCAAATAAATAAGCTGAAGCATGGGGTTGCCTATCTGAATTTACCCTATTGGGCTAATCATTAGCCAGATCCCAAATGTTCTCTTTTAACTAGTTATCCTTTTGATGAATTTTATGTCCGAAAAAAAAACTTGCATAAACAGTGAATATAATGTAGGCCTACCTGTTGACCGGTGTTTAGCCCCACTCTCCCCTATGCACTCACTGCCAATTGCAGAGTGGTAACTTGCTTAACTATGCTTCTCCTGGTTTAAAATAGTTCAGTTCGCGCATATTTAGTTGAGAAATAAATAAAAGTAGGAATGGAAAGCTGGGATCCCCCTCTTTTTAACAAAGGCCATTAAAACGGATGTTTTCGCGGTTGCAATAATTGTTGTGCATTGACTGCTTGTCAGAATGCATGTTTCCTTCCCTATGGCAGTCATAACTTGAATGCGCCACGAGGTATATTTCTCTCGCATAGCGCACACACAACAAGCCGACTCGGTAAATAGATGAACTATTCTACTATGGCGTTGTCGGATTTTTATAGTAATTACTCGGTTTGTTTGCAGAGGAAAAGTAAATGAGGACTGTCCTAGCATCTTCAAATATTTGTTAATGTTCCATATTTTTTTGCGTGGCGGCAATGCCTTTGCCGTGGCACAGCGCCACAGCAAACAGTGCAGCGGAAACACTGCGCCCAACATAGACAAGTTAGGCCTAACAATAACATGCTCAAGAACAAACATACTGTACAATTTCATTCATTCGTTCACTTATAGTCGCGCATGCGCCGATGCTGTCCGTTCGTTGCGAACTTCACAGCAGTAGTGGATCAAACTTTGGCCCTCGCTGAGATAAAGCCAGACTAAATCAATTCAACAAGTGTGGATATTAGTCTGGGTACCATTCTGTTTAGCTATCATTCCACTCCTGTCATGCTAAACATTTTTGGCATATCACAAGGAGTGGAATGTTATCCACGTAGTCTGGGTACCAGTCAGTTCGGCTATATCAAACCTCAAAATGCCTCGCTAGCTACACCGTGCACCTGTGTGCAGCAAGCATGGATTATTTCCCTTCCTGTCCGTTAGCATCAGCTACCTTGCTAGCTAACTGCGGCTCTAGGTGTCCAGGGATCTGCAGCATACAAGATCCTGATTTACAAAGTAAACATAGCTAACAACATACGATAATTAATCTTCCCAAAATATAATACCTGTATAAGACGGTTTAAACTTAGATAAAACGTGTTAACAACCTTTAGTTTCTGGAGCTCCACGACTTCAGCCATCTTGCTTTGCTGATTTAGATTCGTTATCTGTTTCTCCAATCGGAAATCGACCCCCTTTACTTCTTCCGTAGAATTCCAACACCCTTGAGTTGGTGCATTGCCATCTACTGTGCTAATGGTTGGGTTGCATGTATTTTATTGTTTGTATGTATGAAATTGTATGCACTCACTAACTGTAAGTCGCTCTGGATAAGAGCGTCTGCAAAATGTAAATGTAAATGTTTGTAGATTTTTTGTGTAAAAACTTTTGTGATTTGTGTTGATACATCAATGAAAAGTATAGCCCAGAAAAGTATTTTATGTAGAAAATCTTTATTGATAGGCAACCATCCATCAATGATCAGATTTAGAAGGGAAATTCAACACAGTTGGACATGTGATCGAATCAATCGAATTTCGGATAAGCCTATACATTGCGTCACAGACCGTACTGTTGCCGTGTTCAAAATAACTGGGACCTCGGAAAAATACGAGTTCAAATCATGACGTCAGGAAGCTCTAGAAAGAGGCCCGAGTTGCCGAGTTGGAATTCCGAGTTGGATGACCGTTCAAATAGATTTTTCACAGTCGGAGCTCGTTTTTTTCCAGAGTTCCCAGTTGTTCTGAACTCACTGAAGTCGGAGATTTCCGAGTTCTCAGTTTCGAGTTCCCAGTTGTCTTGAACGAGGAAAGTATTCTACTGCATTATGACACATGTATTTTTGATACATAGTCATACTTCTCATTCCTGTCATGCTGTGCGATGGGGAGCAACGTTTGCGAAAGCAGACAGGTAAACAATGTTGCTTTCACCTTTGCATTTAACTATTTTCTGACAGTCTAATTAAACTTGTAAACAATTGTGAATGGATTTAGTAATTTAAGTTAAAATAGGCTATTTCTTACACCAATCCTATGAAGTCTGAACCATTGCAGTATGTGAATCAGGCCTAATTGCCACAACAAATTATTTGTGCATGAGGTCTACTTTGGGCAGAGCAAAATGTTGTGTGGGGGTAGATAACCAAAAAAGTGCAGCAGAGGTAGTTCATTGAACAATTTTTGTGTGATGAGTAACCTTGCCAGAGACTTGTGTTAGTTCCCTTAACGCCTAGGCTTGGACATAGTGGGCCAACACAGTCTTGTGATATGCATTTGACCTGGGTTCAAAAACCCAGTCAGTCCCATTGTTGTCAATGTTGATGCTAGAACTAGGTGGTATCCATGGGCTGCCTAAGGCTCCCGCCTAGCATCCACCCACTGGCCAACACAGTCTTGTAGCATGCAGATGACCTGGGTTTAAACCCAGTCAGTCTCATTGGTGCCATGACCTTGATCACACAGTTGTCTATCAGCTGCTGGGGTCTTGTTAGAGGAGGTCAAGGGAGAGGTTAAGTGTAGGGGTGGTTCTGTGAACAGAATAACCTTGGCTGAGACTTGAACATGTATAATAGCTCCCTGAGCTAGAGCCTAGGCATTTAGTGGGCTAACACAGTCTTGTGGCATGCTGAAGACAGTTAGCCACAGGTCAATTCATTCACAGCCACAAAGCCACAGTCACAGAATTAGAATATCTATGGCAACATCATGTTTGGAATGACAGGGAGTTGACATAAATGTTATATTTCCCTGCTCAGACATTGCATGCATCATCCAATGGTTGTGTGCCACATCATCGATTGTAGATTGCTATCTACATTATAATAAATACGCTAAGCATTCTAAGCTGCTGGACGATTTCCTCCTACAATTTTGCACCAATTTTCTTAATTTTAAAAGAAGCGCGTCGTCCTCTTACATCCGGCTTGCCACTTTATATTCTGCTGTGTTTTTTATTTTCATTTTACCCATAATGCTCATTGACTTGACATTCCAAATGACCATTAAACAAGACAGCAGTAAACATGTCGTCCCCCATGAATGATGCAGTGCCCCCCTTGGGCCAATCAGTGTAATTTTGTAAATGCAGGATCTCTATGGCAAGTCGCATCATTCACCTGAGTTTCGTCAAAATCGGGCCAGTGGTTTCTGACATATCGCGTGGGTTAGGTAGACTCATGTCCCTAAATATGGGTGCCAAATTTCATCACTCTGAGTCAAACGGATCAAGAGATATAAACCGCCGTGAGGTCGATTTGAATGTTCTTGCATATGTTGAGTCTTGACTGTGTTTGTAACATGTGTACCAAATGTTGTTACAATATGAATGTCATTGACTGATTTAATAGGCATTTATGTGCCAGACCACGCCCATGTGAATGTTTATTGGCCAATAGCGGCCATTTTGTTTTAGGTACTAGTTTGGAAAATATTGCGTTGAGAGGCCTTTGTCCATAGATGCCACATATCACGTTTCATGCAGATAGGTCATTCGGTGCAAGAAGAGTAGCGCATAAGTGTTTTTCACAAAATTAGAAATGACGGAAAATCCATCATGGCAGACCGTATGGTCCCCCATAGAGAATGATAGAGGCCTCTAGTGGACAAAAGGCTATTTTAGCAGGGGCATCACCATTGAGGGCTTCCACCAGGCTTCCGCCATTTTTTAAGTAGTCAACTGGGTGGGAATTCCTATCAGTTTTAGCCTCAATGGCGCTGCCCATGCTGTCACAGACGCTATAATGTCACAGATATAAACATGAGTCCTCTATCTATCTCTATATGGGTCCCTGAGGCAAATTGGTTCCTTGTGAGGAGAGGAACCTATGTACCGAATTTCATGACTTTAAGTCAAACGTGGTGAGGGGCGTGACCTTTCAAAGTTTGTATTTTCAATCTCTTGTTATAGCACCACTATCTGGCCAATCAGTGTACAATTATGGATCTCTATGGCAACACGCATCATTCACCCAAGTTTCGTCAAAACCGGACCAGTGCTGTCTGAGATATCCCGTGTGACTAATGTACAAATGAACATACTAACGGACGGAGACGGAGCCACAGATTTCATCGTGGGGGACAATAAAGCAAATTGAAGTGGGTCTGGGATGATGGAGTTGATGTGTGCCATAACCAGCCTTTCAAAGCACTTCATGAAGACAGATGAGTGCTACAGGGCGGTAGTCATTGTGGTAGATGGGCTTAGAGTTCTTGGGAACAGGAATGATGGTGGTCAGCTTGAGACATATGGGGATTACAGACTGGGAAAAGGAGAGTTTGAAAATCAATATTATACTGCACCCTTCTACCATTCTACTGCAACATTCTACTTTATCCTGTTAAATGTACACGAGTGTACAAAACATTAGGAACATCTTCCTAATATTGAGTTGCAACCCCTTTTGCCCTCAGAACAGCCTCAATTCGTTGGGATATGAACTCTACAATGTGTCGAAAGCGTTGCACAGGGATGCTGGCCAATGTTGACTCCAATGCTTTCCACAGTTGTGTCAAGTTGGCTGTATGTCCTTAGCGTGGTGGACCATTCTTGATGCACACGGGCAACTGTTAAACGTGAAAAACCCAGCAGCGTTGCTGTTCTTGACACACTCAAACCGGTGCACCTGGCACCTACTACCATACCCTGTTCAAAGGCACTTAAATATTTTGTCTTGCCCATTCACCCTCTGAATGGCACACATACACAATCCATGTCTCAAGGTTGAAAAATCCTCCTTTAACCTGTCGTCTTCCCTTCATCTACACTGATTGAAGTGGATTTGACAGGTGACATCAATAAGGGATAATAGCTTTCACATGGATTCACCTGGTCAGTCTATGTCATGGAAAGAGCAGGTGTTCCTAATGTTTTGTACACTCCCTCTGCTTACCTTATTACCCAGGCAGGTTTGTGACAATGGTCTGTTGACAATGCCCTCCGAGTTTCTTAATTTATTATAAAAAACTGCGTTGTCCTCTTACATGCCACTAGTCACTGTAGGAAATCAAACATATGTAAACATAGGGTGACAGTGAGCAATTGACAGTAAGCAGTGAGCAAAAATAACCATAGACGGGAAGTTGACAATGGCTTATTAATAAGCATAAATAAATATGCATTTCAAAGATTTAATTGTATTTAATCTAATTAATCAGATCCAATGATTTGCCGCTAGTAACATATGATGTGGTTAGCTGATATGTAAAATGCCTATCCAGGCATTGTAAGATCTGGCATGCGTAAGCAACATCTGAGCAGGGGAACACAACCAATAGCACAAACAGACTGGCACTCAGGCTATTACCACAGTAGTTCATTGGGCGTCGGCCTATGATGACATGTCAGGCGTGCACCATTATGTCATAATTGTTAGGTGGACTATCATAGGTGAGTTTGTGTGAAATACATCCCTGCTGTTTTCAGGAAAAGGCCTCAGAGTCAGATACCTCACAACCAGAGAAGCAACCTCGTCCACTGAAAGGGAAGCCTCAGATCATGAGAAAGACAAACCCGTCAGTGAGCCGCAGATTGCCTGCGATGACAAAGCTTCCGGTCCTACCTGGGGTTGCCTTTACATTGTCAAGAGCCAACCTGGGGAAAAAGGTAAGCCGAACATACATTTAACAGGATAGAGTAGAATGTTGCAGTAGAATGGTAGAAGGATGTAGTAGAATGTTGCAGTAGAATGTTGTAGAAGGATGTAGTAGAATGTTGCAGTAGAATGTTGCAGTAGAAGGATGTAGTAGAATGTTGCAGTAGAAGGATGTAGTAGAATGTTGCAGTAGAAGGATGTAGTAGAATGTTGCAGTAGAAGGATGTAGTAGAATGGTAGAAGGATGTAGTAGAATGTTGCAGTAGAATGGTAGAAGGATGTAGTAGAATGTTGCAGTAGAATGGTAGAAGGATGTAGTAGAATGTTGCAGTAGAATGTTGCAGTAGAATGGTAGGATGTAGTAGAATGTTGATTTTTAACCATTTTTATCCTGATTCCCTCAGTTGTATCAGCCTATGTCTGATTTCAACCTAAACGACCCAAACTGTCACGTTATGAGGCCCACGTACAACAGTCTGCATGACCCAAACCTCAATGAATACTACCATCAGAAGGAAATTCATGGCAAGTTGAAGAAGCGAAACTTAATCACTGAAGATGATAATGTAAGTTTTAAGTTAATCTTGTTGTTTCTGACCAGTGTAGGAGGAGACCGTTAACTTAACTGATCATTAACTCCAGGAAATAGTATTATAGGAGGGTACCTTTTGATTGTCTCTCTCTCTTCTCAAGGTTGTATGCTCATTGAAGGAGTATAACACATACAAACAGTACCTGGATACGGTCAAGACAAACCATGACAAAACCTACAGCAAGAGGATGGTATCTGGGCAGTTTGACTGTGTTCTGAAATTTGTAAAGAGCAAAGTTATTTACATGTGAAAATGTGAAACGCTCACGCATCACTCTTATAACAATGTTACTGTAACATGTACGGAATATCTTAGGTTGATACCGATCTAAACTGTACGGAAATGTTCTTTATCCTATTTCAGAAGGAACAGATGCTGAGAATGGTTCGGTTACAAGAGGAAGGCCATATCCCTAAGGATGTTACACTGGAAGATATGAGAGAGTACTTACTGGAAGAAGGAGCTCTGAACCTGAAGCATCTGCAGTCAACCATTGGTTCCAGGTAGGCAAGAAGTGCATGTAATGAACTGTATACAAATGCTAGCGCTGACGCCTAGTGGTAATAATGACAAACTGCATGTTACTGCATGTCATTACACTAGAGACAACAATTATATAGCTTTATATTAGAGTTATGCCTAATCTGTGTTGGAGATGTCAACTACATGACTGATCTGCTGAATGAATTGATAGGGCCAGGGGGCAGAAATATGGCCTGCAAACTGCATTGTATGACCCAGAGAGAGAGTTTGAGGAGGATTGGGTTTCTAAGGAGCGATCCAGGCTGAAACTCATTGAAAATTATGTGAAGCATGATGTGAACAAGGCCAGGTACCTGAAGGAGGCCAAAGAAAAGCGCAACAGAAAGGTAAGAATGTCACACTTTCTTCATACTTCACAAAATTGCCAACAAATTATTTTCAAGTTTGAATAGTTCAGTAAATTAAGAAATGGTTTTACCTACATTTTTGTGGGTGCTAAGTTGACACATTTGACGGTATATTTCACAGCTATTTTTTTTACTCTGGATATTCATATTATGCTCTTCACAGAAAATATGCATCATGGAACAAAAGCAGGCCATTCAGATGAGGAAAATGGAAGAGGAATTGAAAAACCTCCAAGTGTTTGAGAGGTTGAGAGAGGCCACTATCAAACCAAATAAGCTATTGGAAGGAATATCTTTAAAACCAGGTAAGATTTCATTTGAATTCATCCCACTAACCAGGTTTCCATCTAACCTTTATTTTATTTTTTGTTGTTGTAATTTTTACCCCCTTTTTCTCCCCAATTTCGTGATACCCAATTGTGATCTTGTCAACTCCCCAACGGGCTCGGGAGAGGCGAAGGTCGAGTCATGCGTCCTCCGAAACATGACCCACCAAGCCGCGCTTCTTAACACCCACTCGCTTAACACGGAAGCCAGCTGCACCAATGTGTCGGAGGAAACACCGTTCAACTGACGACCGAAGTCAGCCAGCAGGTGCCCGGCCCGCCACAAGGAGTCGCTAGAGCGCGATGAGCCAAGTAAAGCCCCCCTGGACAAACCCTCCCCCAACCCGGACAACGCTGTGCCAATTGTGCCCCGTCCTATGGGACTCCCGGTCACGGGATCGAACCCCAGGCTGTAGTGTCGCCGCAGCACTGTGAAGCAGTGCCTTAGACCGCTTTGCCACTTGGGAGGCCCCCATCCAACATTTTTATACGAGTAAAGTACATGTCCTATAAAAAATGTCATGACAGGCCTGATGGAAACAGAACATTTTTCGGTAAACTTTCCAAATGTCGACGAAACAAAATACGCTAGACAAGGTGGGATAGTTTTGTGTCGGTAAAATGAATTATGCGAGAAATGTCGGTGGAAACTCTTTTATGCGCAAATATTGATATAATAACTATCATATCGAAGTCAACTTGGAGTCATGCGATGACATGTTGGGTGGTCCTCTCACTACGACTCGTTGGGAAAGCATGCAGTTTATTAGGCTACAGATGAAATAAATTATGATGAACTTCACAGGGTGGCGAAAATGCAAGGTGATGAGCTTGATGCTCCTTTCAAATAAATAATTGATGCTTGGCTGCCATTTGTCAAATACAATATTTTTTGGTCCATAATAATAATCTCCTCATGTAGACTATACATGCGTTATATCCAACATGCGCTCTAACATATAGCACTGTTGGCTAGAGCGCCGGTGCCAATACTAGGCACACTCGCTATATACCTCAACCATCAGTAGAGCTGAAAATGCTATGAAAATAACTTGTATTTTCTATTCGGTACGTGGGAATTTCACCGCAAAATGTATTTTTATGTGCACTACGTCATCATTTGTATCTGCAACAAGTCAATTTGATGGAAAACATGTCTGGTGGGAAAATGCTCATATGTTAATATGTGGATTTTAGAATATTTGCATGAAAATCTGTTGCCAATTGGATGGAAACCTAGCTACAGTTACGCAATGTTTAAATAACAATGTCAAATGCAACATACAGAGGAGCAGTTGAATGTCTTGTGCTGTATATAATCCTAAATGATTTCTTATAGCTCCTGTCCAGCCCGCTCGCCTACCTGCTCACTCCAAAACTGTGACGAAAACAGTTTCTCTGTCAGGCAAGTCAATTTCACAATTAAATAATCATAATTTAATTATGAAGGATATTTCGGAGTATTGTTTGGTGCCTGCATATTGGCATGTTCATAGCGAAGTGAATGCTAAATTACATCCAATTTAGTATTGTGTGTGTGTGTTTGTAATAGGGAAATCATCTAAGGAAGAGCCACCCATGCTACAGAGGAGACCAAGCCTTGATCACCTTGCACCACTCCAGAGGAGACCATGCCAGGATCTTCTGGCACCACTGCCCTGCAGGTCCAAACCAAGTGTTGAGAAAGACATCAAGACAGAGCAGGGACAGGATAGGGCACCCGACTCTCACACAGTAACAAAGAGAGAACTAGGATCTGCTACATCTGACGGTTCCCTGAAACCTAGATCCAAGGCTCCTGTGGTTCCCAAGTCCTCCCAGAGTGAGCAAGGTGTTCCTTCAACAAGAAAAAAGGTCAGGAAAAACAGAAGAAAGGAGAGGAAGGGTCTGCAAGCACCTGTTTTGAGGATCTCCAAAGCCATCGAGAGATGAGGCATCGCAGACAGTGCTCAGCTAAAATCTGTCATCCTTGACCACTTGGGCTCCAAGCCTGTCAGGAAGCAGCTGGCAGAGTCGATCAGGGATGAGGTCAAAGTGACGATTCCAGGGTCTAAGCCAGCGGCACAAAGGGCTCGGAGTGCCAGAATCGCTTATGACGTGTTGAAGTGTGTCTCTCGAGCGGCCAATCTTTGCAACAAACCTGCCTGCAGACTCCGCGGGGGAAACCCAATCAAACCCAACGCTAAAGGAAATAATATAGAACCAGAGGAGCAGATGGCCAACGGAGAAGACATTAACCTCTACGTCACAACGTTGATCACTGACGTTCTGGAGGAACTCAAGGAGCAAGTTATCGTAATGATCCGAGAAGACTCCCCTACCCAATTCAAAGTTGTCTCTGCAAAGGCCAGCCAAACAGCCATTGATGTGGTAAGCAACGTTTTGGAAGACGTTAGAGACTTATTAAATGAGGGAAACATTGAAGAGCTTGCACTAGATGGTGATGATGAAGAAGGCACCTCAGGGCTACCGGACAGTCAGCCACCTGCAATGACTGCATCAGAGATGGCAGACCCAGAGAACCGTCCAGTTTCCTGTTCAAAACAAAAAGGTATCGCCTGTGACCTTATAAACAGTGCGTATGACAACCTCCTATTCAAGAGAGCTTTTCCTGAGCTTCAGATCGAACGAGATGAACAACCAATCACCTCAAGGGCTATCAGAAGTGACATAAAAATCTATTTTGACGAAAAAGCACCTTCCCTGACTCCAAAAATGCTTCCCCCGGAGCCACTGATCTCATCTTTCTCCAACTCTCCTAGTTATGGAATTATGTTTTCATCTGACATTTCAGAGGTTGCAGAAAACGACTTGAAGACAAGCAACCATTAATGCTGTGAGCAACATTTTGGGAGGTATGGGAACTTCCCTCATGGCAAGTAACACACAGTTAATTCCTGCTGTCACCGGACTTAATCCCGACCTAGACAATGTCACACACTTGGAGGCACAATCAGACTCAACTGAAGGTTTTGAGGGATATCCAGGGATCTGGATGACATCCCTGAAGATGCAATACATTGCCTCAGGCCTCATGGACACGATCTATGATAACCAACTGGATGAGGATGGTGTCCTCCGACGGAGCGCTGGTGCAAAAACCTCACAGGAAGACCTTGATTTTCAGAAGGTAATTACTTCAAAAACAGCCTCCTCAGACAATTGCATTCCTGTCAAAAAATGTCTGTCAATGTCCTACCTTGATGTTTTGAAGAAGCATGAAGACACTGGCAACACTAGTCACCGTAGTAGAAGCCTTGATTCTTTCTCCGTAATTGGTGTACCTACTTCAACCTCAAAGGTTTCACACGGCACAGAATTGAAACTGACTCCGTTGCCAAAGGTTGTCTCTGCATCATCCTCACTCTATGCAATGAGTAACTGTTCAAGCCTGTTGGAGTATACCTCCAGTGAGTCTGATATCCCTATTGACAAAGAGGCATAAAGGATTTATTCTACAGACGAAGAATATGTTTGGTCCAAATCCCCAGTACCAATCCTCCTGACCTCCCTCCAAATCAGTCTTCAATGTCTCCGGCCTTGTACCTACTCCTCCAGAGGGAGAGCCTAAAGTGAGGCTGCCATGGTGCCCAATGCGCCGCCTCTGGAAGGTTCCGAAGCAGCCCCCCAACAATTTGCACGTTTACAGGAATCCTCTTAATTTCCCCACTGAGACTATGCGATCGACCAGTCCATCACCATCCGAGGATGACTCCCCAACTCCAGAGGAGGCCCAGAGGCCAAGGTAAGACTGCCTTTCCCATAGTCCTAATCTGAAAAGCTGTTTAGCACCTACCCCACTATTGCTATTTTACCTGCCTTGATTCTAAATGTATTATTATTTTTCTTAACAGAGTTATCTCAAAGCTCTACTTATTAAATATTAAAAGCGCTATGCAAATTCAATGTTTTATTTTTATTTTTATTAAGAGCGATCGACCGCTCAGGCGAGGAGTCTGTCTTTGAAACACGAGTGAGAACAGAAAGACTCATCTGCGCAGATGTGAACCTGCTCGCCGCAGAGATAATGCTGTCTGCTCGTGAGGACGTTAGCTGCACACCTGGCTGCGCTGTCGTCTGACAATGAGATGCACTTTGGCTCAGAGTGGGATGACACCCCACGCCGATTCACCAACTGACTCAACTGCCTCCACCACCTCTCCTCACAGCGAGAGTAATAACTGAAGAGGGACTCGCATGTCTACTTGGACATGATAGAAGCATTTGCTTACATTATTTTGAATTGCGTTGACCTTTTAAACAATGCATTTATTTGAGATTTAAAAAATCATTGAAATACAATAAATGAAACCTAAGCATTTACAGTGTCGTTTTTCTTAATGTGAGGGTTAAATAAGGAATGATAAATCGAAAGTTAAGAGATCAATTAAATATCTTTGCTCTGAATGGTGACATTGTTCTAAAAGGAGTTTGAACAGTCTCACAATTCGACCATAAAATATTAAGACAAAACTTTTAACACTCTTACGTATAGTTTCAAATAGAGGTGAGGACAAAGCCGGATAAATTTAAAAGTCACAAGAGCCCCAGTAATCCTTATTAACTTTACATTCCTGCCATGTTTCCTGCCTGTAAGCACAGTCTCTCTTAGCAGCGCTGTATGACTTATTGTTCTGTTGACCCAGAAACGATTCACTAATTAGTACAACATCTTCTATATTCCAGGTGTTATACCTAATTAGAACTATTATCTCATCAATAGTGTTGCAAGATTTTATTTCTTACCACTGATATGTGTGGCAAGATTTGAGCATTGTTGCTCAGATTGTTAGACTATTTTAATACTGAATATCCTCATTAGACTAGAGCTGAAAATATTTTAGGGTAAATCTCTAAATTATTTGTGGAGAGTAGTCTTTGGGACATACTCCAGATTGGCCTCAATGCAATGGGTCAGGTGGTATTTTAAAATGGGAGCACATAAGTTTTCACATGCAGTTACCCAATTTTTATGAAAGTTTGAAGCATTATCGGTACTCCAGCAATTAAAATAATCATTTATTACATTTGTAAAGCACTTTTTCATTATACAGTAGCCTATAAGAAGTACATATCTACTGTACATACCATAGTAAATATGTGGCAATACTATCACAATTCATTCACAAGGCAGCATAGCATGAACCTTTTGGTACCCTAACCTAAGACTAACAGAGCCCCACAGCCTTGGGAATGTAGACTGCTGATTTCACAAGTTGTTGCACCCATCCATAATCTTTCTCACAAGCTATCACAGTAACAAATACTATATGAATCTACGTTTACTTATACTGTATGTAAGTACAGTATGTATAGGTAATGGTGAGTTTATATGGCTACAGTATGGAGACAAAGATGAAGAAAGACATAATTTCATGGGTCCCAAGACTGCACAGCCTCGTGGGAAATAATCACAACAAGTATATTAGGTTGTCTTCTTTTTTTAAATGGATTGATGGACATCACTCCCCAGATATTATCCTGTGTCAGCAGACAAGTTAAACTTCTTTCATATATTAAGGTATCTTCTGAAACCTTGTACACAAAATGTGTATGTAAAATACATTTGAATCACCATTTCATTGTGTGCCTTATGTAAATTAGCCCTGCTATACTGTTCTAGAAAAGGCCGACAGGTCACAGGTGCCTTTTGGGGAGTGGTGGAAAAAGTACCCAATATCATACTTTAGTACAAATAAAGATACCTTAATAGAAAATGACTTAAGTGAAAGTCATCCAGTAAAATACTACTTCAGTAAAAGTCTAAAAATATTTGGTTTAAAATATACTTAAGTATCAAAAGTAAATGTAATTGCTCAAATATACTTAAGTATCAAAAGTAAAAGTATATATCATTTCAAATTCCTTATATTAAGCAAAACAGACGGCACCATTTTTTATTTTTTACGGATAGTAAGGGGCACACTCCAACACTCATTTACAAAAGAAGCATGTGTTTAGTGAGTCCGCCAGATCAGAGGCAGTAGGGATGACCAGGGATTTTCTCTTGATAAGTGTGTGAATTAGACAATGTTCCTGTCCTTTTTAAGCATTCAAAATGTAACGAGTACTTTTGGGTGTCAGGGAAAATGTATTGAGTAAAAAGTACATTTTATTTTCTTTAGAAATGTTGTAAAGTAAAAGTTGACAAATATAAATAGTAAAGTACAGATACACCAAAAAACGACTTAAGTAGTACTTTCAAGTATTTTTACTTAAGTACTTTACACCACTGCGTTTGGGGAGGTGGGATCACAGGTTTCAGTGGGGTAGGAGGGGTTTAGTACTACTGCTGTGAGGCCAGAGATTTAGAGAATATATAAAGCCAGGAATCACAATGGTCTGGTGAGTTTGTTTCCGACCTGCATTGGAGGAGAAGAAAAGGGATATTCTATGTTTAACGTGGAAAGGAAGCGTGCACACTAATAATGAAGACAGGGACAGCTTTTGCAGTGTTGTTGGTGGCACTGGGCTCATCTGCTGCAACAAGTAAGTACAGATGTAGAGGATCTTAATTTAAGCCAGTTTACTACAGCAGGAAAATGATCCTGCAGCAACAGGAAATGTGAATTATTATGTGTATTATAATTAATGGACATGTTTGTAGGGAAAATCAAGTCTAATATTTCAAAGTGTAAATTACAAACTTCAAAAGCCTTTTTTAATTTCCTGCATTTCAGAAGAGTTCTCCTGCAACAGGGTGATCAAATTAAGATCCTACATCTGTACAGCCACTCTGGATATCATTATGTATACCAGATAATCTGGTATACTTAGATTATATGTTTTCAAGAAAGTATATTTTTAAATGACAAAAGGACATTATTTCTTACCTCAGGCCGTGGCACGTCAGGATTTCACAATATGATAATCATTTTAGTAACACTTGTTTCATTCAAACCTTTCGGTAATGATGTGTATTGAGGAACACTGCATTTGGTCTTGTTTTAGCCACTCTTATGACAGTGGCTCCTCAATGCAGCACTATGTGTCCTTTGCATGACAAAGGGTCAGTTTCCCAGACATAGATTAAGCCTAGTCCTGGACTAAAACCCTTTCAATGGAGATTATCCGTTTTGATAACCAAATGCTTTGCAAACATTTCACAAATATGAATTAACCCTGTTGACATTCTTGATTTTATGGGGAAGCATCATTGCAGTCATAGGGCCTCTAGGAAGATTCAATGCACTAACCTTCAACATTGTGCAAGTAGCATGAGTTTTTCAATAAATATTTAAAAAGCACAAGCGAGAAGGGTCTCATTTGTCACCAATCGGCAGTTTGCATTAATTCCAAACAATATAGAGTTTTAGTCAGCGGCTATAAATTCTTGATTTTATAGTAAGATGTACCGATGGTGGGATCATCGCACGTTACAGTAGCCTATTCTAACAATCATACCCTTGATAATCGCTTTACAGTCTCCCCCAATTGGGATATCTGTATTTTGTGATTTTTGCTATAGGGTGCCGTGTATGGATGACCGGGATGCAATCTAACACAGGTTTATCATTTTGATTTGACAATTTTTTTGTCTAATTTATTAATTACAATAAAAACATAATGCATTTATGAAAATAGTCAGTGCTTATCAGTGCAATTAAATATAAATAGTTTGACCTCCCTGGTCCTTATGTCAAAGACAATCCTCGCCCTTAGCCCTAATCTGTAGTAAAGTTATGGTACACTCAGCTGACAGTCACATGAATAGGATTGAGGGGGATTGTAGAGATTTTGGGATTGGCAGTCACCTAGGTTAGAGCTGAGCCCCCTCCTTTGGTTGCAAAAGTGTGACCAGCTCCTGCCTTTTCAACTCTAATGAATGAATGCTGACTGTGCATGCTTACTTATGTAATTTCTATTATTATATTCCAGAGCCCAAAAGTCACTTCACACAATATCCATCATGGAATACGAAAATGTATCCGGTGTGGAAAGATGAAGACCCTCGCTACAAAGACTCTTGGAAAGGTATGCACAATTGTCCTCTGTCTCAGCACAATGTAAATACACTGATGGTTACATAACATTTTCATCTTATTTATCAGGAACATCTGTGAACAAAAGGACAAAAAGGTTTAAGTAAAGTAAGTCAATTATCTCTGTGAAATTGTATACTTATGATATTCACTTCAAAGTGTACATTCTTCTCAACAGGTGGCAAGGTGAAGTTCATTGTGGGTAATGACGCACCGACCCTGACTGCAGCCAAGGTGACCTTTACCATCGAGCTGCAGTTCCCACACAACCAGAAGGTCATGCCTGACGGAGAGGTGGTATGGGCCGAGAACTGCACCGTCAATGGTAAATCCTCGAGGACTGACTGAGTTTTGGTAACCTCATCCCTAGGCTTATTGGGAGGAAGTGTCTTGTGAACAAGATTAGAGTTTTGGCTATATGAGGGTCTTTTGTTACTTTATACAGTAATCTTGGTGCCCAGAGCCAAATCTCGCATGAATGCTGGCTTCTGGCCAGCGATTGTTAATTAAGTCTGTCATGACAGTCTACAATATCTGTATTGTTCTTTCCCTTTGGAAACTACAGTGCCAAGTTACTGTCTGCAAAAAGTACATTTTGAGGTTAGATACTACATATTGTTTTCCTACATTCATAGTACATACTCCTCTGTCTAAAGACAAAGCAGAAACCAACACCCACTCTGTTTTCCATTAGGAACACACTACCATCAGTCTGAGCTAGTGTATCCTGCACAGAACACGGAGTGGAACGGAGTCTTTCCCGACGGCACACCCTTCAAGAAGGGTGGTGACAAACCCCCTCCGTATGTGTTTGTATGGAAAACATGGGGTAAGTACAGCTGCAAGCACTCTCATCTATTAGGCCTACAGTATTAACATGTTTTACTTTGTCTTGTAGTAATGTTGTTATAAACCTTTAATAACCATGTAATAACTCTGTTATAAGCATGTAAACCTATTTCCTTTGCTTTGCCTCACAGGTCAGTACTGGCAGGTGTCTGATGGCCCCTCCTCCTCCCTCACCATCGGGACAGACAATGTCCCTCTGGGCTCCTACATCGTGGACATTGTCATCTACCACTATCGCAGCCACGAGAAGTTCATTCCTCTGGGATATGCCTCCACACAGTTCTCCATCACTGGTTAGTAGAATGAATGCGTGAAAAAATTAATAAATGAATGAGTGAATGAATGAACACATTTTATGACTATTTTAAAATACATTTCATGTTTATTCAACTACGTAGAAAACAACAATACTGCTACTAGAAGTTACTTGAGAGGTTTTGTCTGAGGGTATTTTTTTCTTTGTCTCTATTTCTGTCTCTAGATCAAATCCCCTTTGCCGTCTCAATGACCCAAGTGAACGACATCAACGAGGCAGACCTGAGCTTCGTCCAGAACAGAGCGATAGCATTCACGATCAGCCTCCACGACCCCAGCGAGTACCTGAGTGACGCTGACATCACATACAACTGGGACTTTGGTGACAGCAGCGGAGCTCTCATCTCCAGAGAGCTGACTGTCACCCATACCTACATAGTGGCTGGTGGCTTCAAGCCCCAGGTTGTTGTACAGGCCGTTATCCCTGATAAAGCATGTGCCACACCAGCTGGTGTTATCCCCACTGGTAACGCTGTCACTGTAGGGCCTGCAAACCCGGAAGGCACAACAGGTAATTCTCATCTTGAAACGCTATATTCCAGAAATTAATTTCAAAAGTCTTTACTTGGATTCCTTGGATCCTTACTGTCGTCAAGGAGAGAGGATGTGAGGAATCATGGAAAATACTTTTGACATTCACCCAATATGTAGTAGGCTATGCCAGAATTGACAAAGAAAATAGGAAGTTGAATGGTCCTGTTTCTCTCTCCAGTGAGCGCTCCTGTTGCGGATGCATCAGCTGCTCCAGTAATGGCGGCCACACAGGGAGTTACAATAAACGTAGGCCCATCAGCCCCTGCTGAGACTGACACAGAGGAGGACATGACTGAGGTGGGAGTCTCCACTGCTCAGCACACAAAGACACCTTCTCCAGTCAACCCTGACACCCCAACTGTCTCTGCTGGTTCAGCAACAGCTGCTTCTGAGGAAGTAGAGCCAGCAGGTATGTACAACACACCTACATATCATATTAATTGATGAATTAAGTGAATTAATTGTATGTCTAATGTGCTTTAAATTGTTGGATTGTCCATTTAGTAACTGGAGTGCATTGTTGTTTCACCTGATACAGGGGAGACTGCTACGGCCCAAGCTCCCGTGGTGATAGTTGTTAAGCGTGAAGCAGGTGACAAACCCAAGGATGATGACTGCGTGATCTATCGCTATGGGTCCTTCTGCGCTGGCATTGACATTGTTGGTGAGTCCACTGTCTAAATGACATCGAAATCTCCATCTTGTGGTTTCCTAACACTGTATTTGATTAACATTGAGGGTTATTACATCCCCTCTTTGTCTTCAGAGGGCATTGAGAGTTTGAAGATAGTGCAAGTGGATAATGCTCTGATCAAGACTGATGAATCTGAGGTTGAACGAAATGTAGTGGATCTAACTGTCACCTGCCATGGGAGGTGAGTATTCCTGCTCCAGAGCAATTAAAGGGAGACTGTCTCAAAGAATCAAACTTGTTATTATTTCCCTAAGCAGAATCATGGTCCACAGACAAATCCATAAGTTATGCAGGCCTATATCCCACCATTTAAGCACTAGGGCTAGTTTCATTTCCCCTAGTCCTCGATTTAAAAATCATTATTGTATTTTAGTCCAGGGTTAGTCTGGGTCAGGGAAACCGGCCTGTATTGTTTCACTGAGCGTTTCTGACCCTTTGTCTGTTTTCCACCCAGCCTTCCCACAGAGGTGTGTACAGTGGTGTCCGATGCAGACTGTCTGATGCCCGTCCACACCATGTGTAACACAGTGGCGCCCTCTTCTGAGTGCCAGCTGGTACTGCGTCACTTTTTCAACGACTCTGGCATCTTCTGCATCAATGTGTCCATGACCAATGATGTCAGTCTGGCAGTCACCAGCGCCAAAGTTAGCGTGACCGTGGGTATGTTCTGTAACATGTCTGCTCTGCACATCTGTGTATAGTGGCTATGTTGGGGGGTAGCCCCACCCATGTCTCGAACCTGGGTCCCAGAGACAATCAGTCCAATACCTTCCAGTCAAACACCTATTGTTATTGTTTAGAAAATAATTAATATATTTTAATATGTTGTTATATGAAGTTGTTTTACATAAATTATTGTCTGTGTTCTTTGGTGGCAGGTTCCGGTCTGTCCTCAGCGGGCACTGCAGCCATGGTGATGGGGGTCCTGATCGTTGCTCTGGTCGCTGGATCTGTGGCCTACACTTACAAGTGAGTCACATCAACATTGGTCTACTCTTGTCACACCTTTCTGAAGGGTTCCATATCACCACAAGGTATAACCTGTACAGCTTGCTTTGAGACATGACCCTTATGGTGTCTGTATACACTGTACAGCCATGTCTCAGGGCAACTGCATGCAGCATATTGTACCATTGATAATACTTTTCTAATTACCTTTTTATCCTTTATTCACCAGGGGAGTCACATTGAGATGTACATATTTTTTTTTCAAGTGAGCCTCTGATAAAATGTATGTACTTTAATTTTCTCTTTTTGTTCCACAGACGGTTCAAAGCCTACCGTCCTCTGAAGGAGGAGTCTGTGGTTGGCTCCTCCTCCCAGAGCGCTGAGGGCAGTTCTGGTTGGAGCTCTGGGCCTCTACTGTTCTGGAACCTTCTGAGTCGACAGGCTCCTGTAGAGAACAGCACACTGCTTGATGACAGGCTTGTGTGAATGGACAACAACAACAACCCATTCAACTGCAAAATACACAATACACAACAGTCAAGAAACATTTTATTTGCACATATAGTCATCTGACATGTTTTGTTTTTTCTTTTATACATTTTATTTTTAACTACAAGTTCATGAATGTGTAAAAAATGTGGCTTATTTCCATCAAACTAAACATTTTCAAAGAACATATGTATGGTAAGACCTACAGTGATTCTAAATTTTTATACAGGAGGTTTGACCAGTGAATAATAGTGGAAACTACTGTGATGTTAGACATTTTACTATCTTTCCCCCATTAAAATTCCCTCAAAACTGCACTAGTGTCTTTCTATTTGTCAAGATAATGTTGTGAATGCGAATAAAGACCAAGGGCACAAATGGCTAATTTAATTAAATATTTTATTAGGTATCATGCAACAGTAATAGTGTTTGACAATGGCTTGCCTGCAGGGACATTTCAATACTCCTCTCCCTCCTCCTCTCCCTCACCCTCAATGGAGTCAACCCCTACCTCCTCGTAATCCTTCTCCAGGGCTGCCATATCCTCTCTGGCCTCAGAGAACTCTCCCTCCTCCATGCCCTCACCCACATACCAGTGCACAAAGGCACGTTTGGCGTACATCAGGTCAAACTTGTGGTCAAGCCGAGCCCAGGCCTCTGCCACAGCAGTGGTGTTGCTAAGCATGCACACAGCTCTCTGGACTTTGGCCAGGTCTCCACCAGGGACTACAGTGGGGGGCTGGTAGTTAATGCCAACCTTAAAACCAGTTGGACACCAGTCAACAAACTGAATGGAACGTTTTGTCTTGATGGTGGCAATGGCAGCATTGACATCTTTGGGCACCAGATCACCACGGAACAAAAGGCAACATGCCATGTACTTGCCATGGCGAGGGTCACATTTCACCATCTGATTGGCTGGCTCAAAGCAGGCATTGGTGATCTCGGAGACCGAGAGCTGCTCATGGTAAGCCTTCTCTGCAGAGATAACTGGGGCATAGGTGGCCAGAGGGAAATGAATACGTGGATAGGGCACCAAGTTGGTCTGGAACTCTGTCAGATCAACATTAAGGGCACCATCGAATCGAAGGGAAGCAGTGATGGAGGAAACAATCTGGCTAATGAGCCTGTTGAGGTTAGTGTAGGTAGGACGCTCAATGTCGAGGTTCCTACGGCAGATGTCATATATAGCCTCATTATCTACCATGAAGGCACAGTCAGAGTGCTCTAGGGTGGTGTGGGTGGTTAGGATGGAGTTGTAAGGTTCCACCACAGCTGTGGACACCTGGGGAGCTGGGTAGATGGAGAACTCCAGCTTGGACTTCTTGCCGTAGTCAACAGACAGGCGCTCCATCAGCAGAGAGGTGAAACCAGAGCCGGTGCCACCTCCAAAGCTGTGGAAAACCAGGAAGCCCTGAAGGCCTGTGCACTGGTCAGCCTGAAGAGAAAGAGAAAAACGTCAATAAAAGGAGGACATTCTGATCAGATAGTCGATAAAATAGTTAATTCATTCATTCTGAGATAGCCACCAGTTTGCGGATCCTGTCCAGCACCAGGTCAATGATCTCTTTGCCAATAGTGTAGTGTCCACGGGCATAGTTGTTGGCAGCATCCTCTTTGCCAGTGATGAGCTGTTCAGGATGGAATAACTGGCGGTAGGTCCCAGTCCGCACCTCATCTGACAAGAGAAAATGAAGAGCTCATTAAGGAGCTCAATAGCAAGAAAGCAGAGGAAATCCTCTTTGACATACCTTTATTTAAATTGAATGAGAACCAGGAAAATTACCTATGACTGTGGGCTCCAGGTCTACAAACACAGCCCTGGGGACATGCTTTCCAGCCCCAGTCTCACTAAAGAAGGTGTTGAAGGAGTCGTCTCCTCCTCCGATGGTCTTGTCACTGGGCATCTGTCCGTCTGGCTGGATCCCATGTTCCAGACAGTAGAGCTCCCAGCAGGCATTGCCAATCTGGACACCAGCCTGACCCACATGGACAGAAATACACTCACGCTGGAAAATAAATGGAAAAATATTGAATGTAGCAGAATTACAATACATTTGACAAAAACGTATAATTGCCAAAAACACCACCTAGTGGAATACTGGGTAGGCTACATGTAAACTGAAGAACAGCAAAAATGGAGACCAATAGCAGAGGAATCTTGCCATCTATAAACATATGACCATTAATAAACTGACAATAAGGTTATATTTTATTTTATTTTTACTTCACCTTTATTTAACCAGTTAAGCCAGTTGAGAACAAGTTCTCATTTACAACTGCAACCTGGCATTACATCACTACGTAATTAATATGCAGCTGGCAACTGGAGTGGAATAGGTTTATTTTCAGGGTTAAACTAGGCATAATGTTAGACATTGTTACAGAAGAGAGACATATATTCCCCTTCTATCCCCACCCAGTCTGCCCTCCCCCACCTAGCAACACAATTAATGTCAGTGAGAATATAATCCCATTTTATTACCATTTTAAATCAATTTCCTGGATAAATAAATGTTGCGGACTTTGATGAACATTGTACAATTCATGTGCTCAATAGCTACCACAAATTATGCATGGACAAAATAGTGCCCTTGTTCTTTCTTTCCACTGCTATACCAATTTATGTAATAGCCTGGTAATAAACCGAAATAGCAAGCAATACCATTTCCAAACGCTAATGCGGTCTAAGCAAATCTTTCGCATTTGGAAATGGGTGAACAACACGAAAATGCTCCAAATCCCCCCTATTCAGAATTCATTGCCCGAGACAATAAGAATCGACCCATATAGCCACAATAAGGGTGTGACGTTGTCTCCTCATTTTAGAAAATCTCAACAGAAAACATCAAAAACGTAATTATTTCAGGCTTATTATTGCGGAAGAAACTACATGACTTACCATGTTTTCTAAGGAGGATCGAACAATAAGAGAAAATACAAAGAAATACGCAGAGAGATCCCTATTTGTGTCTGAATGAATTAGTGTATGCTCTGCCCGTCAGGGTCAACGCAACAACTGCTGATGGAGAGGGGCGGCGCTCCCAAATTTATGCACAGCCGTGTGCGTTGTGTAATACCGCTATTTGAGGCTGAAAATTACGTTTTTAAAACGAAGCTTTTTTATTAATTTTGTATTTTTCTAAGTGTGCATTATGATAAATATGAAATGTTCTTTAGTGAGAAAAAATATTTTCTCCAATTCAGGGAAGGGATGGGAAGGTAGTGAATTGACCCTACGTCCTGTGTCACCCTGTTTAAAAATACAGTACCAGTTAAAGGTTTGGACACACCTACTCATTCAAGGGTTTTTCTTAATTTTTACTATTTTCTACATTGTAGAATAATAGTGAAGACATCAAAACTATGAAATAACACATATGGAATCATGTAGTAACCAAAAAAGTGTTAAACAAATAAAAATATATTTTATATTTGAGATTCTTCAAAGTAGTCACACTTTGCCTTGATGACAGCTTTGCACAGTCTTGGCATTCTCTCAACCAGCTTCACCTGGAATGCTTTTCCAACAGTCTTGAAGGAGTTCCAAATTATGCTGAGCACTTGTTGGCTGCTATTCCTTCATTCTGCGGTCCAACTCATCCCAAACCATCTTAATTGGGTTGAGGTCGGGTGATTGTGGATGCCAGGTCATCTGAAGCAGCACTCCATGACTCTTCTTCTTTGTCAAATAACCCTTACACAGCCTGGAGGTCTGTTGGGCATTGTCCTGTTGAAAAACAAATTATATTCCCACTAAGCGCCAACCAGGTGGGATGGCATATCGCTGCAGAATGCTGTGGTAGCCATGCTGGTTAAGTGTGCCTTGAATTCTAAATAAATCACAGACAGTGTCACCAGCAAAGCACTCCCACACCATCACACCTCCTCCTCCATGCTTCACGGTGGGAACCACACATTCGGAAATCATCCGTTCACCTACTCTGCGTCTCACAAAGACACAGCGGTTGGAACCAAAAATCTCACATTTGGACTCATCAGACCAAAGGACAGATTTCCACCAGTCTAATGTCCATTGCTCTTGTTTCTTGGCCCACGCAAGTCTCTTCTTATTATTAGTGTCCTTTAGTAGTGGTTTCTTTGCAGCAATTCAACCATGAAGGCCTGATTCAAGCAGTCTCCTCTGAACAGTTGATGTTGAGATGTGTCTGTTACTTGAACTCTGTGAAGCATTTGTTTGGGCTGCAATTTCTGAGGCTGGTAACTCTAATGAACTTATCCTCTGCAGCAGAGGTAACTCTGGGTCTTCCTTTCCTGTGGCGGTCCTCATGAGAGCCAGTTTCATCATAGCGCTTGATGGTTTTTGCGACTGCACTTGAAAACACTTTCAAAGTTCTTGAAATGCTCCGAATTGACTGACCTTCAAGTCTTAAAGTAATGATGGTCTGTCATTTCTCTTTGTTTATTTGAGCTGTTCTTGCTATAATATGGACTTGGTCTTCTACCAAATAAGGCTATCTTCTGTATACAACCCCTACCTTATCACAACACAACTGATTGGCTCAAACACATTAAGAAGGAAATACATTTCACAAATTAACTTTTAACTATGCACACCTGTTAATTGAAATGCATTCCAGGTGACTACCTCATGAAGCTGGTTGAGAGAATGCCAAGAGTGTGCAAAGCTGTCATCAAGGCAAAGGGTGACTATTTGAAGAATGTGAAATCTAAAATATATTTTCATTTGTTTAACACTTTTTTGGTTACTGCATGATTCCATATATGTTATTTCATAGTTTTGATGTCTTCACTATTATTCTACAATGTAGAAAATAGTAAAAATAAAGAAAACCCTTGAATGAGCAGGTGTGTCCAAACTTTTAACTGGTACTGTATAGTTCACCCCAATTAAAAATGCATCTTATCATGAATACCATTGAGAGTGAGCAATCCAATATTTGGGTGTAGGGATAGCTTTAG